GTGCTAGCGTTAAAAGCTTGACATTGATTATGTTACAATAGTGACTCAATGCTATGCAAAATAAGTTTTCTATTTCTTGCTTGATTTTTGCTTTATCAATGTTTAATTTAAGTTTCTGAGTTATTTCCTTCTAATCCTCGTTTATCAAGATGAAATTTATTTTTTAGGTTTTGATCGAGAGGTTCTCTCCCTCCTGATAAGCTTCCTTGTGCGCACTGACGAGATGATGATTACAGTAGAACGCTAGGAAGCAGGGGTTTTGTACTCCCTACGTTCTGCAGTCTTTTGGCTTATTGTACTTTACCTAATTCCTTAGGTCAGTACAATTGACTCGATTTTTTAAAAGAAGCGGCAGGTCATTAACTTTTTTACTGCAATTATTTTACCTGGGTCTTTTTAGTACCACCAGTTTTGTCGTTGAGGTCTGCGAGATAAACCAACAACTTGGTGATTTCCGATAATTTTAGTCTATCTATCTTTGCTGTTTGGTCTGTCAGATTTTTTGCTTTCTAGTGTTGGATTTGTCGTGACGTTGCCCAAAGATAAAAGTAAGGTAAGATTATGATGAGGAGGATACGTGGAAGCGTAGTTTAGGCATTCTAAGTACTGTAGCCTTTTGGTTTATTTTACCTTTCCTTCCTTAAATCAGTTCAATTGAATTGACCCTTCTCTCAAAAAGCAGCATGTCATCAACTACCTTTTCTACTATTTTTCCCGGGTCTTCTCGGTACTCTTGGTTATGTCGTTGAGGTTTGCTAGATGATCCTGTACCTTAGTCGTTCCCAATAATTTTAGTCCATCTATTCAATCCAATTTTTTTACCTGGGTCTTCTTGGTATCATAGTTTATGTCTCTATTGCGCGATTGCCTTGCATTGGAATATAACATTGGAGGCAGTTTCTTCCTCCTCTTTGCATAACCTAAAAATTGGGTCATCATTGAATACACCCATGTATGCCTTTTCCGTAATTCCAGCCATGCAGGCAAAAAGGTGACATCGAAAATAGTCGGTGAATGCTTCCAAAACCTTAAAAACCTAGGAAAACGTAGCCTGACAATATCTACGGTGCAGGGCGAAAAGGAATTTTGTATAATGAATAAGCAGACAAACTGGCTAAAGGAGGATCTTATTTATAGATCCTCCTTTTCAGAATGGGTCTACAAAAACAAAAGAAGTAGACGAACTGGACAGGAGCCAGATACAGTAAACTATGTACCAAGGATGGTCTTGAAGAAAGCAAATTTAGTTGTCACTGCCAAGCTTTCGCCCTATTTTAAGGTCATCATCAGGGCTAAATAAACTTAATTATGTCCAGAAATTGACATATTTCAGTTTTTTACAGGCGATCTCAAATTTCCTTGAAGACCAACTCAAGAACATACCTTGATCCAGTTTGTGAGTGAAAAAGTGGTCGATACTCCTAACATTGAAGATTGTAAACTTAGTCCTCAAAACTGGTACAGCTATTGCTACAGAGACTGGGTAAAATCTAAGGGCAAGAAACGGCTACCGGCCCTTGGTATCTAAGGAAACACTCCCAATGGATAAACTAGGATAACAAGAAGGCTCTGGAAAAAGAATGAACCAAATACTTGTCAATCTGACCTAAGGAACTAGTACAAGTACAAGCCACAAAGCTGCAGTGCTTGGGAAAAACCAAATCCTATTTCCAGCATTACATCATCATCATGTTTGAGAGAACTCGATTTTTCAATGACTAGGTACGAGGTTATGTATATGAAATCATCTGGAAGATTCTTTCTTTTATAAAGAAATTGGCTAGGAGGAAATCAAGAAACTATTGTAATGGGATTTTTTCCGAAGTATTGATGTCTGTAAACTTTACGAACTTGAAAATTTAAAATATAAGTATCTTGCCTATAGACAATACAACAATTGCATGTGCCTAAGTTACCGTTCAGGCTACGTGCTGTAAAGCAAAAAAAAATATTTTTGAATTTGATATTCCAAAAGCTTACCTTGATTAAAAATTTTACTGTAAAAATCGGATTCTTCTCTGAAACCTTGGTCTTTATAATTAAATTTAAATTGAAACTGAATTCTCAAAAACTCTGATGGCTCTGGGCCAAACCTGGATGGCATTTTCTACGTTCCTCCTGTTTCTTCACATTTTATCCTTTTCCAATTCCCTGTTTTTCTAGAAAAAAATTGTCATTTAGTAATTTTCAGCTCATATAGAATAGATTTTTTTTCCGTTTCGAACCACTTTACTGTTGCGTTTCAAAAGAAGAATGGCGTGGACTGGATTCATGTTTCTCCTCGGACTCTTTTGAGAACACTCTCGAAAAGAAAACCGTCGGCAACTAACACTGGGCCAAAGAACGAAGACCTTTTCTGATGAATAATAAACCAAATCGATGACAGGGGTTATCGCACTATGGACAAAACAAGAATCCGACGCTAATACTAATCTAAATCCAATTTATTCTTTCTTTCTCGTCCCAATTGCCATTTCTTTCCATTTTGAATGAACTGTACAAACACGCTACACTAATTTTAAAAATCGATAAACGTAATAAAATAAAACATTACCACTAAAAATCTATCATGTATGAAGTGAACGTATAAAGCTGACATAATTAATCCACCTTATTCTCAATTCGATATGACTGAGTCACTCAAATATTCTGTCTGTGTTTGTTTTATTTGTGAATTAGCTCTTCCGGTTTCCGTGCGTCAGGCGGATATTATTCAAACCTTGTATTACATATTTTATTCATTTTACACGCTTTAAAACATTTTAACTAAATTATGAATATACATAAAACCAGTAAAACTAATATAATTTTCACCCAAATAAACTAATATAATTTTTAATTTGTTCCTTCTTTTGTTTTACATAATGATATTTTATGTAAATACTGTTATTAGTCGTTTATGCTTGGGTGCTTTTAATAAAACGAAGATAGTGCTTGGGTATTTTTAATCTCTATTAGTATTTATTGCTTTAATCAAGCAGACATGGTTATTTTAACGTAAATAAGAAGTTGATATGATTCTTGGCATTTTTTATGTGATGAAGATGGGTTGGTTGATCTTTTAGCGTATATTGTTTGCGTGCTTTTAATGAAGTAAAAAAATGGCGCGTGGGTACTTGTGATGTGGTGTAGAAGGGCTTAAGTACTTTTAAAGTAGCAATGGTGTATCTTGAGTGTTTTCAAAAAATGGTACTTGGTTTTTTAATGTACATATATTGTTGCATGAGTGATTTTAATGAAGTAAAAAATAGCGCTTGGGTACTTATGATGTGGTGTAGAAGTGTAGAAGGGCCTTAAGTACTTTTAAAGTACTGTATCTTGAATGTTTTCAATGAAGCAAAAAAATGGTACTTGGTTTTTTTGAGTGTACTTATATTGTTGAGAGCTTTTGTTTAAGTAAAAATAGTGCTTGGGTACGTTTAATGTGGTTATTTGGTAACATGGGTAATTGGAAAGAATTGAAGACTTAATTACTTATGATGTAGTGTAAATGATGCTTAAGTACTTTTAACGTAACAATACTACAGCTTGATATTTATTTAGAAATCGTGAGATGCGGTCTGGTGTGATGTAGGTTTCAGAAAAACATTTTCTTTATCGTGCCAACTTTTCGATCTTTATTGAGATCATCTTCAGGGCCTTGTGTTGTCTGCATTTCAGCAAAAAAGTTCTCTGATTGATGGCCGATGCGAGTTTCTTCTCATTGTTGGCGATGTCCTTCAGTATACTTTTAGCTTCGTGTCCATATGTAGTTGCAATTTGTTCATAGAATCCCATGTTCTTCGTTCTTCTCGTGTAGAAATGTGTGGTGATTAACGGTCACTAATCACCACACATTACTACAGCTTGAGTTTTTTAATGGAGTAAAAATGGTGCTCGGGTACTTTTAATGTAGGAAATATGGCGTTTTAGTGCTTGAGTACTTATATATGGTGGGAGATAGAAGATAAGTACTTTTGCCGAAGGAAAATAGTGCTTGGGTTTTTGAGCATAGTTATATTGATGCTTCAGTGCTTTTGTTGGAGTAAAATTGGTGCTTGATTAATGTGGAGTGAATTATACTTTGGTCCTTATGATGGTGCTTGGGTACTATTGTGTGGTGTAGATAGTGCTTGGATACTTATTGGTCTGTATGGTGCTTGGGTACTTTAAATGTAATAATACTGTAGCTTTGGAGTTTGTACTGTACTAAAAACTGTCCTTGGGTACTTATGATGGCGTGTAGATAGTGCTTGGGTACTTTTGATGTGGTGTATATGGAACTTGAGTACTTTAATTAAATGTAATAATATACAATTAATTAAGGTTTTTAGTTGAGATAAAAACAATAATTAATTGAATGATATTAATTGGTCAAGTGGACCACGAAAACTAGTGAATTTAATGTAATAGTATTGTTGCTCGGGTATTTTTTCTGTAATGAAGATGGTACCTGGGTACTTACAATGTGATGTAGTGCTTGGGTACTTTTGATGTGGTGTACATGGGCTTGAAAAATTTAAATGTAATAATATTGCTGCTTGGATTGTTTTACTGTAATGAATATGGTGTTTAGGTACTTATGATGAGGTTTACATGCTGCTTGGGTATTTTCGCATGTATATCGTGTCTAAATACTTTACAAATAATATGTTGATTGGATTTTTATACTGTAATGAAGATGGTATGCGTGGGTATTTAATTGCTGCTTGGGGACTTTTGATGAACACGGTTGTTGAATAATTTGAACGGAGCTTGTTCATGTATTTTTAATTTTGTCAATATTAGTCCAAGCCTGTTTGGTCTACTGACGATTCGAAACAAAATTTTTATTGGGCCATATTATTTTCATATATTTTTACGTTAATGGGAAATTCGTATTAAGAACAAAAATAAATTACAGCATTCAAAGCACAGATTTTATTAAAACAAACAGGTCCAACGCTTTAGAAAAAATAACTCATACAATTTTGACATTGTATTGAAACATTCACATTTTTGTAAATTCGTTAAATTGTAAATGTCGCATATTAATTTCATTCTTCAATATGAGAAACAAGTACATTTTCTGGTCCGTCCTAGTTCAGTAATGATCTGATGCAACATAAAGGCTTAAACAGATGACACAGAAGTTTTATCGCCAACGGTAAGCTCGCCAAAAGGGCACAGTCTCTTATCTTCAACACCCTGGACGAGATAAAATCTATATTTAATTTACGGCTATAATTTTGTTCAATAACATTTTATTGGGTTTTTCGAAAAATTCAAATTTTGAAGTTTGTCAGAAATAGATATCTGAAGCGAATTTTTTATTTATTTTTTGTAGTTTAAAGCATCTAGGATTAAATCAATATGTAATGCTGTGAATAGAAAGATTGGTCATAGTTTATGTACTTTTTAAGTTCGTCTGATTATTGATATATGAACTCATGATTTTTAATTGTTCTTTTTCTATCGGTGGAAGTGCGCTTTTCTTGCTGTTTTTAGATTATTATGATTTTTTTTAATATACATATATTTTTTGTTGTATAAGTCTTTTCTCTTCTGCGAGTGTTGTTTTTTTTAACATTTTAACGGAAATCGCGACCGGAAACAAAGCTTAAATTCGGTCCCCAGTGATGATTGTCTATAACGCGATCAACGTGATGAAGATTCGTGACTAAAAATAACGAAAGTTCGGGCTTGCCGTTTGTAGCTAAATTTAAATATAGAACCTGGCTCTTCGCAGGGATTGTTGATCGGAAACACAGTATCATAGAAAATCCAGGCTCCCTAATCTCTTATGTTCCGGCATGAGGGGTGGTGACTTCCCAATCGTCACTGTCATCTGTGCTTTATTATGTTTCAGTGCTTTCGCCAGTGACAGGATCAAAGATGAAACGTAAGTTCTATTCGTGTCTTTTTTTTTGCCTCCAGAACCTCTCGATATCTAGTGATCAAGTCCAACCTCTGGTCATTTGTGTGTATAAAGTGAAAATTTATACAAAAAATATATAATAATAATAAAAACAACACTTTTAAGTAAATCTAATAAACCCATAAATAAATACTGGCTAAAATCGTTGAAACACGAGTCACGTGGGCGGATTACCTCTTTCATGACCTTACTCATCAATTATTGACGAAAGCGCAACGCTAAAACCAAGGGAAACTAATTTCTAATTTTTCGCCTGTTGATTCAATAAATGTGTGCTAGGTCAATGAAGCCGGACAAGGTTACTTTTGTACTTTGGTATTTAATTTTCAACAGGGACATAATCATTGGAAAGTTTTAAATGTTAAAGTCCACCGGTGAAAAACTTTGCAAAATGGTCGATTCTTTTTTCCCTGTTTGTTCCTGTTTGTTTTTATTCTATAATTTGTCATAAGAAGAAAAGAAAACGACTGATCTTAAGATTATTGGGTTCGTGACTGGTCAACAAAATAACAAATTGATTCAATTATTCCAGATCCCTTTTTATTTTATCATTATACACTGCTTGCTGACATTCAGCAGCAGCAGAAATTATTTATAAAAAAACCATTTGTAATTTTGTCAAATTTTGTCTCGTGCTGAAACTTGGCCTCAGTTCAATGTCTTTGTATACGCAAGACAACAGAATGACATTGGAATTTTAAGACAAAAATTATACAGGAAACAAAAAATATCCTAAAAAATAATCATTAAATTTGACTATATATGACAAGAATATGAAAATGTTTTGAAAATGGTCAAGAATGTGTAGAAGTAGAAAACAATAGGACGAGTGGTCAAATTATAAATAGAATCTGTGTGTTCACAAAGATGCCTGGATGTTTTTAGTCATAAATTTTGCCCTATTCTTTAAATGATTTTATGAACTTACAGCCTATATCTGTAACAATACATACCTTACGTCAAATTTGCCTAAAAACCTCTCTGAAATTATGAAATTTCATTTATAGACCAAAGATGTTTATGATTTTAACGTTTGTCTCAATCAATCAACGATTATCACCGATTTTATCTGTCGGGCGCTTTTTTGTTTATTTTTACTTTTTGGTATTTGGCCACCTCCAATGGCTGTCCTTTATGTCCCATATATGTCTGTTTATTTTTGTTTTATAAAAGGGCAGGATTGTCAAAATAACACACAGACAAACTACAGGAAAAATTAGCGAGACTAGAAATAACACCAAGCTTATAGAGTCTGTTTTTTGAAGGATTATCGCTGATTTTGTCACCTCCAGTGGATGGTATTTTTAAACAAGGTTTTTGTTTGTTTTATAATGATTGACAAAATCACGCACAGACAAACAACAACAACAAAAATAGCAAGAGAAGAAATAACAGCCAAGCGTATAAAGTCTGTTCTTTGTACTGCTATCACTGATTTTGTTAGGGTTGGTTAGGGATGGATTTTTTTTTTTGCTATCACCAGTGGTTGATATTTTTGAACAATTACAGTAAAAAGTCTTTTATGTTTTATAAACAGGACGCGATTGACAAAACAACGCACAAACTGCAGAAAAAAATTAGCAATAATTGAAATTACAGTCAAGCTTATAAAGTCTGTTCTTTGAACGGTTATCGACGATTTTGTCTGTCAGACACGGTTTTTTTTTTTGGGGGGGGGATTTAGCTACCTCCAGTGGCTGGTAGTGTTGAACAATTTTTGGTTGAAAGTCTTTTATGTTTTATAAACAGGACGCGATTGACAAAATCACGCACAGACAAAGTACAGAAAAAATTAGCAAGAGTAGAAATACAACTGTTCTTTGAACGGTTACCGCTGATTTTGTCTGTCAGACACTATTTTTTTTTCTTTTAGATTTAACACCTCCAGTGGCTGGTAATGTTGTACCATTTTTGGTTGAAGTCCTTTTATGTTTTATAAACAGGATGCGATGGGCAAAATCACGCACAGACAAACTACAGAAAAAAATGAGCAAGAGTATTAATAACAGCCAAGCTTATAAAGTCTGTTCTTTGTACGGTTATCGCTGATTTTGTCTGTCAGACGCGGTTTTTTCTTTTTTCATTTGGATTTAACCTCATCCAGTGGCTGGTATTTTTGTACCATTTTTGGTTGAAGGCCTTTTATGTTTTACAAACAGGACGCGATTGACAAAATCACGCACAAACTACAGAACAAAATAGCAGGAGTTAAAATAACAGCCAAGCTTATAAAGTCTATTCTTTGAAGGAATATCGCTGATTTTGAATGTCAGAGACGGTTTTTTGGATTTAGCTACCTCCAGTGGCTGGTATTTATGAACAACTTTTGATTGAAGGCCTATTATGTTTTATAAAAAGGATGCGATTGACAAAATAACGCATAGCCATACCACAGAAAATATTGGCTAGAGTGTAAAGAACATACAATCTTTATAAAGTCTATTTATTTAAGGGTTGAGTCATGGGCTCAAAAGCTTGGAGACGAATTATGGGACTTGGGGCTTAGCGTGACCAAAACTCCAGAAATAAAAGCCGTAAGTGTGGGCCAAAATTTATTTTAAGGTTTTTCACAACTCATTTTTTTGTACATTTTAGAGCTACAAAAAGCTGAATGCAAGAGTGTTGCCGACCGACGGCGAGGGTATCCTCAACACGATAGTCACAAATGTCAACAATTTGCTCAGAAGAAAAATGGACTCCGTCATGGTAATTATCTATTTTTAGATGATAAATTATTTTATTCTTTCCGACAGTGTATTATAGAAGCTGCTGAACACCTGGCTGAAGAGTACGTCGACGACAACTCGACCTATCTGTACTATAATTCCAAATTCTCGCCCATTTTCGGCGAAAACTCGACTGACGATGAGCCAGATGGTGTTAATGTAAGTTTTTACAAGGAGATGTTGCTAGAGACGGACAGGCATTTTTACGATTTTAAAGTCAACGTCGGACACAGCGCTGTTCACGTACCAACTGACGTTTATGACCAAGGTGAGTTCAATGCCTGCATGTACTGGTGGCCTGTTTCTATGGGTTAAGATGAACGACATCTGCGATATTTATAGAAACTTAATGATTTTAATTTTACATGGAAACTACTAATGATGACCAATAAGACCTATGAGTCCTCATCTTAAAATATTTTGCTTACATTAACCTTAGCTTAAAGTAAATTTTCATTATCAGCCTCCTGGTTTTTCCATTTCTATGGTTGCTCGTAGTAGATGATCCAAAATCTAATCACAGAGCTAGGATACCACACCATAGGTTATGCATATGACCTGGTAAGAATCATAATATAAAAGATTTGCGAAAATGGGCTAGGGACTTGAACCCTAAGAAAACATCTCCTGTGTGCTTTACAAGAAAGAAGCTAAACCTAAGTGCACCCTTGATAAAGGATGACGCCTTAAACTTTCCCCAAAGAAACTAAGTACCCTAGTATAACCACCAAAGGTTCAAATGAAAAAAACATTAGGACCAGACACTACATTGGCCAGACTTTGCCCCAGGATGGCATATTGGTGGTACACTATAACGATGAATCCCCTGGTCTAGTGCATTGGCCAAAAACACCGATTATGGAGACACAAGGACTACCATGTCTTAATGTAACAGGAGCAATGCATATTTGAAGCATGACAATGATGGAAACTGAACTCGATCTTTCTCCCTTACATATTTATGTGCAGAAGGTAGCTTTAGAGAGCTCCAATAATCCTGAGATGAAAGAAATAAAACTTAACTAAATAAGGAGAAGCCATAAAAAAATTCTGAAGAGAATTAAAACAATTTAGATGGCTATAAAGATAGTTTACAAAATAGAACATTGACTTTAGAGTAAAATAAATTTTATTATCTGGTCCAAATCCTCTTGGTTTTTCAGTTGCTCCTTGGGGTTTTTGTAGATTCTAGACATTCTTATGTGGCTTGGTCGCCAAGGTATAATGGGTTCGGTGTAGAGATTGTAGAGGATGGTGTGGATCAACAAATAACACAGTAATGAAATGAATCAATCCATGGATAAATAAAAAAATTACATTTCTTTAATTAAAAATTATCAACTTGGCTGTGAGGTCAACGAAAAGGACATGCTACAAATTATGAAATGGTCTCAAAAAAATATTTTTTAAATCACTTATCACGCAATATGAGAAGTGTTCTTGAGCAGAGCAATCCCCTTCATTTTTTGATAAAATAAATACCTTGTCACCTTTTTCCTAACCATTCATAGCCTAACAATTCCGGTTGTTGAGCATACCAACAAACAGTGGCATACCCAGGCAAATCCTAATGCCAAAATGGACTTGGTTGAACCTGAGGTGTGGGCGAAGTTGGGCAGTGGGAGACACACCAAATGAAACGAACACCAGAAGCCAGAAAAGAGTTTGAATTTTTAGTCAACCAAGAAAAAATAATATACTGTGTCGTCTCACTTGAGTGATTGTATTTATTAGCATGAAGGTGTAATATAAATTTAATGTGAGGGAATAGTAAATGATTTGACATACAATCAAGTTTAATGTCCAACTAGCTGTGGTGGTGTCAAACAATTTTACCTTACCTTTTACAAATTATTATTAATTAAAAATACATGGATTGTTCCAATGGAACCCAGAACCGCTAGTGTGGCAAATTTGAGTAAGATGCCCTAATCACTTGACACCACTATCCAAAACTGTTAATTTTTTGCGTGTTGTTGATATTGAGTACTCCTTCTACCTACAAAAGTTACATAAAATGACAAGTCACATGGTATTGCTCCATTTTATGTGCAGGGCGATATACCTGAAATTTAGATAGATAGATAGATAGATATAATATTTCAGGGTATGGTATATTGCGCCCTTTAAGAGCTATTGTATCCCCTATGCTCTGCCTAAAGCACATCGGTGAGTCCTATTTCATCAAGAAACTTGATTAATAGGCCCGGTTTCAGTGGTTGTAGTTCTTCTATGGTCTCATTGTACATCCCAAAACACTTCCTCCTGCGGGCTAGTGTAGCTCTGCAGTTTGTTAGTAAGTGTGTTGGTGTCTCTTCTGCTTCTTTGCAGAATCTACATGTGCCATCTTGGATTATTCCAATTTTCTTTAGATGTCCATTTAATCTACAGTGTCCTGTCAGGAATCCTGTTAGGATTCGCAGTCTATTCCTGCTTCCTTTTACACATTCTGTGATTTCTTTCTTGCCAAAATTGGTTAAAAGATTCTTGGATTGTCTATGTCCAATAAGTGAATTCCAAAGTTCGCTCATTTTCTTTTTGTCCTGTCTGAGATATTTGTTAATAGTGTGGATTCCTATGCCAAAGAAGGGTTAGGGTCCTATCAGCGGTGTGGCAGCCCCTTTCCTTGCAAGGGTGTCCGCTTTCTCGTTGCCTTCTACTCCCATGTGTCCTGGGACCCAGCAGAGGAAGGGTAGGTAGGGGGTTGTGATTGGGCTGCTCTTATGTTGTAGGCTGTAGCATCCTGTGCTGACCCCTTGACAGTTTGGGGGTGTCATTTTTGCCAGTTTGTAATTTGAAATTAATATTACGATACAAGATCAAACACTGGCCCATTCTATATCACAAATATAACCGACATTCAGTATTTGTATAATCGAAAGTTTAGGTGTCTACTTGAGAAGAATAGGCAACAAATGACCAAAAATAATCAATTGTCAAGTTACAGGTTCATCATTACACAAATGCAATGAAAAATTTCACAATTAAATATTGGGTTGAAGTCTTTGAAATCTCACAATAAATATATAAAGTTGGTTTTCTGCGAGTGAACTCATATCAAACTAATCAACACTGATTATTTTTCTAGTTCTGTCTATTCTTGCTGGTTTCTGCTTCATGCCCTCTTTAGTAAAGGATAATTATATAACCTTATATGTTGGAGTCTGACTGTCCAAAACCCATGGATAGAAAGAAAATATAATAATCATAAGGCCAAGTAAGCATAAAAACCTTGAATTTAGACAACTCACGAGACATCTGATAAAAGATTGACTTCAATGATCACATTATGCCAGATTCTGCAAAGAAGCAGGACCTGTCATATTTGCTATCAGAATTTGAATATTTCACTTCTCAGCAAGAGCAATTTATTCAGAAGAAATACAACTTTTCAAAGCAGTAATATTCAATAGGGTTGAATTACTACTGGTATAAAGAGGATTCAGTAGCTATCAAAGGGAGCAGTACTTGACAATTCCCCGTTTTTATGTTGTATCACTGAGTACTGTTAATTCATCCTACCGTGTACATTGAAACATTATTTTGTGTTTGAAATTCTTTTTGATTGGTCCTATCACATATTATCTCAGAACTGTAACAAGTAGTTTAAAGATATATGTTGTACGCATTTGTTTATTTGTTCAATGTTTATTCAAATTACAATTTTTATTCTTCTAAATCAGTTGTTGTTCCTTGAATTTTAAAACTTAATATCTTATCAGACATTGATTGAAGATTTTTCTTGGAAAAAAATGTGAAGTACTTATGGTTTTTTTAAAATTTATATTTATTTATTTTTTAATAGGCAAAACTTAGTGTTTTCCCTATTAGTTGTATATATTTATGATATTTGGCCTGTGAAGCTTTTAATGTTTATGTTGAAAGTTATTGTACCTTAGTCATGAGTCTACTGAGTATTGTTTGTCAGCTTTAGATAAATGAATCCTTACATTAGCAGTTTTCTATAACACGGTATTACGCAATAGGAAAGCTGGAACATTTCCGAAATCGATGTGCTAGTCCTTTATCTCAGCTTGTACCATATTTCGCTGATTTCATAGTGCTTTATTCAGTCATTATTTATGGATGCCATGCTACACAAACAGACGATAATCGCCTTATCCCTGGTATTAAGTTTCTTTACATTGATACATTGTAATTAAGTACAAAATTAAATTTTTTAAAACCCTCGGTTAATGGGTTTGTCGCAATTTAAGAATAATTGGTGAAATGTAAGCAGTTGTATTTGTTATATAATCACCATTATGCAATGTGAGGGCTTAAATATGTAAACGTTGATTATACTTAATTTGTTTCAGTTTTTTTTTTTTCAATGCCAAAAAGACGACAAATTTTTAGATTCTTGTTCATCTATAAATTGTGTTAAAACAATTACATAATAAAATCTAAGATTAAATAGTTTCTTGAAATTTGTTTAATTTTAAAAGCGAACAAAACATAACAAACTGTTGTTAACATTTGTTTAAAAGATTTAGCTGGTCTAGAGATAATTTGTGGTAATTAAGCGGTTGTAATTATTTTCTATTGTGTTTGGCTTCTAATTTGTTCATTCCAAGTGATCGAATATAATTTTGTATGTTTCAGAGCCGGTCGCCAAATCTGACCATAATGGCTAATAACGGTTCATACAGCAATGACCGTCCAGCAGGGGCTGGAGACATTGATTATGGTTCAGACCCCGCTTCGGGTGGATTTTTCTTCTCAGACTCAAAAAAGTAAGTTTTTATTATATTTTCTTTACATTCTTGATCTGATTTACCCTATGGTATATGATGTGTAATTTATTTATTTAAGCTGAGGTTGGATATTGTGTACAAAAGTTATCTATTGATGTTTGAGGTGTTGTAAGGCAATTTTTGATTCTACATAAGGTTATGTTCGCAATGAAGTTGTTAAGAATTCATCCGACTGGAGAAAGAAAGCATCTAAATGCTAGCCATAGCAAAAACTTAAGCAAAGTTGAAATAACTAACATGGCTAAAACATTTCTAACTTATCAGAAGTAATTGTATACTTTGAAAAACTTTGACTTGAAAAATTATTGATAAGATAGCAAATTGGAAAAATAAAAAATACAAGTCTGTAGCTCTTCTGTGGTATACAGATAGTACAGACAGATGAAAGATGAGAAATGGTATGACTGGGCATTAAGGGGCTTAACATTGAGCCATGGTCTTCAGCCCCATCACTACCATCTTTCAGCCGTTTGGTGCTAGCTGTAGAAACTTGTGCACATGAAATAAATAATAAATATCTTAAAGGAGCAACAATAATAATTCATTCAGACAGCGGGCAGCTCTGTTGAGGTTCCCCAATCCTAAGAGGTCAACTCAAAACCTGCGTGGAACTGTCTAAGTACGCCAAAAATTGGAAATATGGTTTTCTGAAATCCTTTGAACTATTGCTCAAGCTACCTACTTTGTGTCCAACTTTTCTATCCCCACAGACCTCTAAATTCTTGATACACTTCTGTACAAATTCTGGCTGCTCATCCCGACCTTTCATCCTGAACCCTTGTCTACTATCTTATAAGATGCTTAAAGCATCAATGACCCTGTGATCCTTCAAGGTGACTGGACCTCGTGAGGAAAGCAAATAGTGTTGTGATAGGAATGTAACTAATTGGTTTCTTGGGATATAAAATTCATAAAGACAACAAAGGGTCTTGTAGCGCTCAAGCTACAGCAGAACCATTAAAAATAAAAAGAGGTTGACATATTGTATTTACAACAAAAATACTGATCATACTGATTTCAAGAGTTAATTTTAGTCTTGAATCGTGATGATTTTATGAGGTATATTGAGGAAAACAGCAAGTTTTCATTTTGCCTATTACTTTACTTTTCCCCAGAATTTCTTGTCTTTTTAATTTCTTTTATGATTTCTCCAAGAGGTTTTAAGAATTTTTCATAATTAGATGACCTTCAAAATCTCTGATGATAATCACTTGCAACAACTGACAAAATGAAATGAATTTTTTCTTGTTTTTAATCATAATTGCATTAATAACTTTGTGTCCGTCTTTCAGGCATCATGACTTAAAGCAGATGCTAGACACCAACAAAGATGGCTTGAAACTGGAAGCAATGAAGAGGATCATTGGGGTATGTCTGTTAATAAACTAAAGTAAAACAAAAATTAACAATTATTTTAGATGGTTGCCAGGGGCAGAGATGCATCCGAGCTGTTTCCGGCTGTCGTTAAAAATGTCGTCTCGAAGAATATCGAAGTCAAGAAGCTTGTCTATGTCTATCTTGTCCGATATGCTGAGGAGCAGCAGGATCTTGCCCTCCTTTCAATCTCAACATTTCAAAGAGCTTTAAAAGTAAGTTTTTTCTTTTTCCTATCAAATGGTAAAAGCTAAATGAATTTTAATTTTAGGATCCAAATCAATTAATCAGGGCAAGTGCTTTGAGGGTCCTTTCTAGTATTCGAGTACCTGTTATTGTGCCTATTGTGCTACTTGCGATTAAGGACTCAGCCATGGATATGTCTCCTTATGTTAGGAAAACTGCAGCCCATGCCATACCAAAACTTTTTAGGTAAATACAGTACAATAAATAAAAGTTTTATTTGTATAACCTCTTGTTTTTTGAAAGATTGTTTATTTGGTAACATATTTGGACACATTTGTTCATTTTTAAATCTCATTCTCACTATTAATTAATAAAATTGTTGTTCACATTTATATTGAATGTTTCAGCTTAGATCCTGAACAAAAGGAAGAATTGGTCATAGTCATTGAAAAACTTTTGTCAGATAAAACAACCCTTGTTGTCGGATCTGCTGTTATGGCATTTGAAGAAGTAAAATTTTCTCATGATCCATTTGTTTCAGGCTTGGTTTTTTTAAATATACATTTGTATTTTAGGTATGTCCAGAAAAAATTTGTCTAATACACAAAAATTATCGGAAGCTGTGCAATCTACTTGTTGACGTTGACGAATGGGGGCAGGTCATCATTATAAACATGCTTACAAGATATGCCAGGACTCAGTTTGTCGATCCAAATAAGGATGTGAGTTAAATGAGATGAGATTAAAATTTAGAATGGATTGAATATATATGTAACTTTTAGATTAATATAAATGAAAAAGAAGTGGAAAGACCTTTTTATGATGACGATGTAGATAATGAAGATGTGAAAAACAACAAACCAACATTTGTCGCAGACCCAGATTATAGACTTCTACTGAAGAATGCTAAACCTCTTTTACAAAGTCGAAATGCATCAGTGAGTTAATTAAAAAAATGCTATTCTATTTTTTACACTCTGTACATGATCTCCTTACCTTCAGATCGTCAGTACACTCTGGTGCACTCTAAAAATCGCTCCCGACTTTCTGTCCTCTGGCCCCTAAAACAGAACTACTGCGTTGTAGTTCCTTCCTCATCGTTGCCTCTAACCTATGGAATTCTCTTCCTCACTCTATCCACCTAACCCCAAACCTTGCCATTCCATTTTAAAAAAAATTATTTATTTATTTATTTTTTTAAAGCCCATTTGTAACTATTGAATGTAGGGCAGCTGGGACCTTTACCTTACAGTGATGAGCATTATATCAATGCTTAAACTGTTGTGGTCACCCATGCCCCCCATTAACTTTTTCTTTGTTTAGTTAGAATTTTCAATAAGAGCTGCCAAATTGTAACTTAAGAGGTAGGTAAATTTGAAGCATTGTACAAACCATCAAAAGGATGAGGTTCTAATACAGTGAAACCCCTCATGCTGGGCACCCCTCTATGGCAACCATTTGACAATTTTTTGCATTCACCAGCAAAAAACATAGGATTTATATACATTTCATACCCTCTATAGCAGAACCCCTCCATACCAGTCACGGAACTACCATCCATCCTCATCAGAATAATTCACCCTTTTAGAATGGACATAAACATTAAAAATATATTAAATGTCCATACAAAAAAATACTTGTTATGATCACTTTCATTTTTTTTTAAAGCCAAAAGTATTTTAGGAAAGTAGGCTGGGTGTAACACAATCCTTTACAGAGAAATAATAGAAACTATGCTATTTATATTTCTTGTTTTGTCACAGTTGTTAGAAAATTTTGCAAATTTTTCTTTGTCCTTTTCTAAGTGCTAATTGTTGTGATGAAGTTCCTCCCCTCACATATCCTGTTCTGAGTTCATTTGAACAGGTGTAGGTAATCCATTTGTAATTTGGGAACTACATAGGACATTTTTGAAAGCTTCTTTTTCGCAGAGGAATAAATTGTTCAGGCATTTGAGTTCTCTTCAAATTCTCCCAATCCTTTTTGATTTGTTTCTTGTGTCTTCACATAAATTGTTTATAACAAACTTCAGGGGAGCATAAAATTTTGTACATTATAAGCGGTATTCACTATAACAGTTCATTACATGTGAACATTTCATTCAGTAGATGGCCATGTATGTTTATATCACAGCAATTTTCATTATGTAAGTAACTATATAGTTTATCAAGGTTTATGAGGAAGTACATTCTAACCTGCTAATGGAATTTATTTACATAAATATTTTGAAAACATTATATGTATGGACAAATGTGAATGGAGTTATTTGACTACAGTATCATTGTGCTATGTAATCTGTTATCTTTTTTTGGCCTGTATTTTTTTTTTTAACTATGGCATTTATTCAACTGTTTTATTTTTATTTTTCACAATTCCCGATATTTTGGAATGAGATGTCCCCATTTCACTTGCAACAATCTTCTGATTTAATCCGAGATATTATCGTGAATTTTTCCTGTACAGAAGAGACTAAGGTTGTGGTTTTTTATTTGTCTATTTATTTTATTTAAAGATTTTTAAAGACATTTATAGTTAGAAAAGAGGGAAGAATCTTTCCTAGAAGCATTTGGCAGCTGGGGTTACTTCTACATGCTGCCTGCTATAGTTAGCGTTATACAGTTCCCTATGTTTTTTCCTTATGACATTTCACAGGGCCGGAGATTTTGTAGGTTATAACTGGTCATTCCTTATAACCGTTGTCATTATAAACAATTTGTACTTTGTATTTTACCCTTTCACATAGGAACCAAAAATTTGTTGTGACCCTCTACTCTAACATGGTAGACTCCCTAAACATGGTAGACTCTGATTGGTATTTGTTTATTTTTGGTTTGTTAGTGGCCAAATGGGTACATATTGGCTCTCAAGTCTCTACTGTATTTTGTTTACCTGCATCATGCGACTTATGTAAAATTAAACAAGCTATTGGGTTGTCCGGAAAATAATGCAGGATTTTGGTATTAAACAAAAAAAAAAGAAACTAGTTACTTTAAAGCAATGTTCTTTAATCAAAATAATTTCCCATACTCTCAATACATTTCTCCCAACGTGTTGGTANTCCTGTAAACGTAAACAGAATATTTTATATAGATTTTTTTTAATGAAAACTTAAAATCCTGCATTATTTTCCGGACAACCCAATACTTTGAATGCTTGAATTTTATAAAGATAAGTTAAACGAATAATAATTGCTATGGTGCACGAATGAAGAATCAGGAGGTTGAAATGCCTTTATCCAATTTAAAAAACACTATGATACATTTTTTAACTTTTTTATATTGCAAACATATTGGTTTTTATTTATTTACAAAATTTATTGAAATATATAAAATATTAGGCAGTATGTACAAAAAATATTTATCTAGATTTAAAAAAAATCTATTTTAAACTACACCAAGATGGGTACCCCTTAATAATGAGCAGAAACATTAATCTTTCATGTGTCTTTGTTGTAGAGGGATTTCACATTATTTCCATTTTGGTAGTAAAGAAGTTCTTTGCACCGCACAGTGCAAAGTTCTCAATATCATATTTGACAGGTTTACTAGATAAAATCCTCCATAAGCATTTAACTTGAAATTGATGGAGTATTTCAACAATTGTGGTACATTCAGTCATCTTGTGAATTCATATCGTCAAACATAAGACATCTGAATAGAATAAATTTTCTATAGCTCATGAAGCATGCAAAGCAATGCAACTCCATCTCTATACTGTCTATTATTCCATGATTCTGAAACAAACAAGGATAACAACTACTTTTGCGAGTTGCTATGATGAATCTGATTTGCCGAAGAGTATTTTTTGAATTTTCCTGTATCAGTAAACTTCTCAAAGGAAGTACCAAAAAAAAAAGTAGAAGGTGTAAATATGCATAAATGGCAGAAATAAAGTATTAAAATAGACTAAAAAAAAGAGACTACAGCTCATTTTATACCCCTTAGGATGGTTTTTCGTTTTTGAGGCTTGATTGAGCATTAACACACTGGATATCTGTCATTCTGTCCATTCCATTGTTTTGTGAACTCTGCATGAAGTGTGGGAAAAACATTTCCAAATATTTTAATTTTATCCATATCGTCTTTGTTCCATTACTTTTGATCAGTGTTAGCTATATTAAATATATAATTTTCTGTTTTTCATTTTAAGTTTAATTCAATGCTGATACTATGCTGTGTTAAAATATGTTCAATAAAACTATTTTTTTGTTTATTAACTATTTTATGAAAAAGAAATTCCGGTTACACAGGAGGACTTAACGTCCACGTACCTGTTGGTTGCCGCATATGAGGGGGTCAAACCACTTTATAATACATTTATGATCTTATTATTAATTAAAAAAGCCACAAGCTCTGCTGGGATTTGAACCGAGAACCCCTAGCATGGCAAATACAAGTCTGACGCCCTAACCATTCGGCCACCGCATGGCCATATTATTTATTTCTCATCACTTATTTCTTTTGTATTTGTATTTTATTACATGCATTTTTTCAGTATTCTGTAATTTTTTGCCAATAGGTTGTGATGGCTGTAGCTCAACTCTTTCACCACTTGGCACCCCGAACAGAAGTTTCTGTCATTGCCAAGTCCTTAGTGAGGCTGCTCAGGTCTTACAGGGAAGTTCAATCAATTGTACTTAATTGCATCGCATCCATTTCGATTCAAAGAAAGGTGAATTGAAATTTTTTAAATCTGACACTATTAAATATTCAATTACATTTTAATTTTATAGGGGATGTTCGAACCGTATTTGAAAAGTTTTTTTGTAAGAACATCTGACCCAACGCACATAAAATTACTTAAACTGGAAATATTAACAAATCTTGCAACGGAGACGAGCATATCTGTAATTTTAAGAGAGTTCCAAACTTACATTTCAAGCCCTGACAAGGAATTCGTAGCAGCTGCTATTCAAGCTATTGGAAGGTATGAAAAATATTTTTATAAAAATAACAATTTAATAGTTAACAGAATATTAATACAGATTTGTTCCAGATGTGCTTCCAACATCAAAGAAGTTACTGACTGCTGTCTAAACGGGCTTGTTACAATGCTATCAAATAGAGATGGTAAACAATTTTTTTTTTTTATAGTAAACATTTGTTGAATTGTCACTGAAACACTGTATTAATGACATGTCCACCTGTCGGCAGGTGAAGTCAGACCATTTTGTAATTATTCTATTTTTGAAATAATTCTAAAAAAATCATGGGCAAATATGGGAATTAGACACCCTAACTGACCACTTATGTATCTATCTGTAATAATTTACATAAATATAAGGGGGAAAAAAGAGCAAATCTAAATTACCTGATTTATTTTCAATAACATCTAGCCATTGAGAGTGGCCTTGGTGGCTGAAACGGTTTTGGTGTTGACACTGTGCTCATCGCTGTAAGGTGAATGTCCTGCCCTGCATTCAAATCCGACCTACTCACAAATGGACTTATGAATGACAATAAAAAAAAGAAGAAAATTTTTTTTGGAGGTATACAGTTCATATTTTAATTTTGTTTCATTTTTCTACAGAGGCTGTTGTTGCTGAGAGTGTTGTTGTGATAAAGAAGCTTTTACAATCTCAGCCATCGAGACATCGAGATATAATAAGGTCTATGGCGAAGCTAATGGACACGATTACAGTGCCAGCAGCCAGGGCGTCCATCTTGTGGCTGCTTGGAGAGTACTCTGAGCTCGTTCCAACTATTGCACCTGATGTTCTTCGAAAAATGGCTAAATCGTTCATCAATGAAGTAAGTTTTTTAAATTTTAAAGTATTCAAATATATATAAAAGTATGATTAAGAAATTAAATAAGTAATTTAATTCAACATTTGGAATAATTTAAATTAATTTTTTCCAGGAAGATATCGTAAAACTGCAAGTACTTAATTTGGCAATAAAACTTTTCTTAACAAACCCGGAACAAACAAAACTTCTCTGCCAGTATGTGTTCAGTCTGGCGCGTTATGATCAAAATTATGATATTAGGGATAGATCTAGATTTCTTCGGCAGTTCATATTTCCAACTAACACTGAGAACAATCTGTCATCTTATTCTTCTAAATTCTTCCTCGCTTCTAAGCCTGCACCATTGCTCCAGTCAAAATTCAAAGGTATGTTTAATATAATATTAATAAATTTCACAAAAGAATATAAAAAATTACTTTCAGATAGAGAAAACTACCAAATGGGTTCATTGACACACTATATAAACATGAGAGCTGCAGGTTATCACGATCTACCTGATTTTCCTGATACGGCACCTGACCCAGCACCACGGAATGTCGCCGAACCCATCCAGCCATCGCCTCCTCCTCTTGATGTGCCTCGTAACAAAAAACAGTCCAAGTCCAAATCATTTTATTCGGATTCAGACAGTTCGCAAGTTGACGAAGGTTTGACATTAAACTTTTAAGCGACTTTCAGAAATTTAATTATTTATTATTTCAGATTCTGATTCTTCAGCTGAGAGTGATGAGGATGATGATGACGACGACGATGATAACAAGGACAGCTCTAGTGATGATAGCAGTGATGGAGATTCGGAATCTGATTCATCAGAGTCATCTCCACAGCCTATTGTGAGTCATTTACTTATTTAATTAAGGACAAAACAAAATTTTTTAATATATTAATCTTCTAGAAAAATTTGAAGAATCAAGAGCCAGTGCAATTTAGTAATAACAATGGGGAAAGTGAGTCTGAGAGTGACAGTTCAGAAATGAGTTCCAGCGATGATTCTGATTCTGATTCTTCAGATGATGAGATGAAAACAAAATTGACGAGTAATGTTTCTAATAATGTAGAAACCAAAGGGAAATCAAACCTAGATCTTCTCCTTGACTTAGATGACGGTAATGGTAATAGTTGAGTTATTGTAACATATTAAACTTAGTGATACCCTTTGGTTCAGGAATAACTTTAATTTTCATTTTTTTAATGTTTAACTTTTATATCCAGTTTTATTAGTTATACATTCATATTTTTAAACTCTTTCTTTACAGAAGAACTGGTTTACTGTTAGTTTACCATTTTTGTTGTTTTAATAATAATTAAATATTTGCAGTGGTCCCAAATATTCCAGTATTGACTCCTTCCTTTGGAGGCTTTCTCAGCCCATTGGCCCCTGCACCCACATCAGTGAACATCAATTCTGTACAGGTAAAATTTCACGTCTACAATTATTTAAGGTCAAAAATTGATCAGACGGAAACAAATTTCAGCCAGTTGGGCCTACTGTTATCCCATCAAAGAGGTACGAGCTTTTAAACAAGATAACCGGTAGAGGGTTGAGTATTGAGGGCCGGTTTACAAGGCAGCCCCATCTATTTTCTGGGAAAATGGTTTCAATCGAGTTGAAGTTCAACAACAACACAACTGAAACTCTGGAGGACATAAAAGTTTCATCAACGGTATGGATAATAATCTTAGTTATATAAGTTTAATAATTGTTTATTATAAACTTACATCTTGCAAGTAAAATAAATATCTGTAAACAATTGGAAAGAATATTATACTAAGTTTTATTGGCCAAATTTTTGAAGTTTTATTTACATAGGTATTTGCAATATTATCAATGTATTTGTGACATAGTCATGCAAACATTTTCATTGCCTTCTTTCTTTCTGTTTCTCTGAAATTTCTTCTTGTGGTCTGCAGTGTGATGAACCTATAATTTGGTTGTTACTAATCATTTTGTTCTAGCCTCTGTTTTTGGTCTGTTTGTCATGTTTCGTACCATCTTCAGTGATGTATTTTTGTAGTGGTTGGACAATACGATTTCTTGTTGCAAGTTCTAATTGCACTACAAACTCATGAGAGAATATGTTAAATTTTCCAGATTCTGCTGGACAGACAAATTGTCAAGGGTAGGTCAGGCCAAAAATGATCGGAAACAACCAAACCGTATGAAATATATTGACATACAAATCACGCGAGGCTAGGTAAAATGGAAAAGATTAAACCATGGGTAACCTGGCAGACCTTAAGAAATCTCGTGATGAAAATTATTATTTCTGCATTCCGCCATCTTCAGTAGTCTGAATACAAGAAAGTCAATTTGTAATTGTTAATAGTTTTATTACTGACCAATCACTGAGGTTAAAGGTAACTTTCCAGACCTAAGCGCAATATTTTGTTGTTAGATTTCTCCTTAAGATCTGTAGGATGATTTGGTCATTTCCAACCTTCCTGGATGCGTATCCTGCCAGACATGCATGTCCTGCATTTTGCCTTCCTCAGTTATTGGCCAAAAAATTAAAGTATATTGGCTGTTTTCAGTTATTATAATTTAACATTCTCATACTATTGCAAAAACACTCTGAAGATGGTGAAATGGTGAAACATGTCTGACAGACCAACCCAGTGAGGAAAGGAAGTCTAAATCGGTAATGGCCAAAATTCGTTGGTTTATAAAAAATAAAATTTTAAAAATTTTGGTCAAGCAAGTCTTTTAATATGTTAAGTCTATTTGAGTACAAAATAAATTTATGCAATTTATTTATTTATTTTTTAGAATTTATCCCCAGGAATGCAAATGCACAAATTTGCACCAATAAACACATTGCCTCCTCAGGCCGTCTCCATCGGTACCATAGGTGTAGATTGGAATGATTCGACACAACCTGTTTCATTTGAAGTTTCTTGGAATGACGGCAAGGCTCATATTTCTTTGAAGCCCCCTATCGGCGAGCTGATCCGAAGTGTCAGGATTTCACACAAGATGTTTTTAGACGAGCAAGGTACATTTCTTAAACTAAATTATCATTTGTGCGGTGATTAGTGACCGTTAGTCTATGACTATTTGGAAATCATGAGATGCGGTCAGATGTGACGTAGGTTTCAGAAAACATTTTCTTTATCGTGCCAATGTTTCGATCTTTATTGAGATCATCTTCAGGGCTCAAAGTGTTTGTTTTCTGCGTAATTGTGCCATTCTTGCGTGTCGTGTTGAAAGTGCCCTCAACCTTGGCACAATGAAGAAAATGTTTTTCTTAAATCATCAGAAGACTGCATCTCAAGATTTCCAAATAATATATTATCATTGTTGTCATTATACAATCATTATTTTCCAGCTAAACTGAAAGGGATGAATGAACACCAAGAAAAAGTTCCTACGACCAAAGAAATCTCCAATATTAGCAATGAAGTCTGCAAAGTGGCAAATATGTCTCTTCTGCCATCCGTCGAACCTGATATCTATAGGTTTGCTGGTGAAACGATGGCTTCAAAATCTCTTATCTTGGCATCTTTAAAAGTTATTCCAAACTCTATTCAAATTACTGTCAACTGTGAAAAACTGGTAGTTGGGTCGATGTTACTCACAGAACTGAAAAGCTTGGTTTTGTCCCACCAATAGTTCTAAGGACAAAGAATTTATCTGCTGATTCTGCCATCTCCGTTGTTATATTTTATTAATATATTTTATTATAATAAAAATGAGTATATATTTAATTGTTTGTATTAATAAAAATATTATAAAAACAAATATTTTTTATAATTATTTCCCCTGGTCATTATAGGCCATAACGAAGAAAATCAGGTGATTCGAAAATTATAAATACAAAATTTCCCAATACATATTTTCTTTTATAGAAAACTGATGCAGATATTCTTTCATTTCCCAGCAAGATTTGTGCTATTTTAAATCTCAAAAGTAATTCATAGTTTAATTTCTGGGCTAAATTAGGGAAATATTGCCATGTGCAGAGTAATGCATCACTATTCTGTCACAAATGCATACCATCTGTTTTTTCAGCTCTTGTCGACGTCCTCAATGAACTTACATCTATTTTTTCCACTGAAAATGAGTTTGTCCTCTCATCTTTTGGCCAACAAAATGACTGTTTGCTTCTACCAAGTTGATATGCCATTTTCTTGTATTTTTTCCCTTATGTGGTGTTAGGCTTTTCTACCTCTAGCAGCCCAAGTTTTGAGTATTGGCGCTTTTTGATTTTGCAGGGAGAACCATAATTTTACCTTTTTTGTGACGGTTACATTGACAAAAATTGTTTGACAGTTTTAAATGTTTACGACAAGGGCCTGTTGATCCAGAAATTAAGATTTAATAAGAAGTTTTAGAATAAAATATCCAATAAAGCTGATTAGGAGAATGGGATCCCAGTTGACTATATCTGGTATACAGGCTCTAAGACTGAGTATAGGTCCAGAGTTAGTATTTATGGAAATAAACCGAGAACTAGAAGTAACGTAATTCGGACAATATGCACTACTGTGCCAGGGAGATCAAAAGGTTGGGTAATATTACCAACGAAAGAATAGCTATGTAGTTGGACAGCCAGGCAAGACAACAACATAACCCTTGTTTGGGTATCTGAGATACAAGAGACTACCTTGGGACAATTGGCCAAGGAAAGTTCTATAAGGACCCATCAGCAATGAAACCTTTTGAGGCCAGAAACATAGATCCATCTACGTGGGTTCAGAATAAGTTGTCAAGAAGACTGTATTCTAGGACAGAGGCATGTGAAAAAATTCATTAAAGGACCTTCGCAGAAACTAATGGCAAAATTATTAAACCAATGATGTGTTAGAACTAGAATGATAGTGGGCTGTATACTGCAGACTCTGGAGGCATATGTATTAACATAGAACAGCACAAAGCCTGTACATATGTATATTGTGAGGAATAAGAAGAAACAGTAGAACAAGTCCTCTGTTGGTGTGGAGGTCTATGCAGTCTGAGATTTCGACTTCTGGGAGAGGAAAAGCCAAGGTATGAAGAAAACACACGGCCTTAATAAAGCTTTGGTATCAGATAAAAAGCCTTAAGCTTAACAAAGAGCTCTAGATAATAACAGAGATTGCACAATAGACCAATATTGTTCACATTGCATAAGGGCGTAAAGAGGTTGGCTCGTTTTAACCTTAACCTTAACAGAGAGTGTTATACAGAGAGATTTCTTTTTTGGATCTGGGGAGTAATGAGCCCATAGTTTGGTCGTTTCCGATATTTTTGGTCATTCATAGGCCCAGCACTGAAGATGACAGTGAATAACAGACAGACTAAAACAGCTATGATAAGCAGACCAAAATGATTATAAATGACCAAACTAAAGTGTTTATCACAGAAACAACAAGGATTTCGTATGGCATGTCAATATTCCACAGGTAAACAATAAAAACAGTAAAACCAGATAGAATATTTGTATTATGTAGGTGTTAGGTATGGACCCATCCATCATAATTGAATAATATTTACTGATTACAGATTTATATAAAAGCTTAAATCTGAACATGCATGTACATTGAACAATTCATACAGAATTGAACCTATCATCACTTCTCACAGCTTGCTGACAATGCCAGCTTTTGAACTTTTCAATAAATCACAGACAGGCATTGAGATTCATCCACTTCTTGGGTGTTGGCAGTCCAGTCTTACTCATCCAGCCACCGAGGTTGGGCTCCAGGGGCTATCAACAGCTAGGTCATTCCAGACCCCAATGCAATTTCTTTCCAAATTCATACCCATTCACACTCTTACTCACTCATTGTAACGTTAATTCTTACTTACATAACAATCATTCAGTTGGTGAAGTACTTAATATTGTCCCATCACCCTCTACCTGTATCATATAACTAATCTAATTGATGGTTGATAGGGTTCTTAATATTCCTCCATTAGCCTTCCCCACACATTTGCGCTAATAAAAACATTCAGTCTCAATATACACAAAGAAACACAAGACCAGATATCTATAAAGTACTATATACAGTAAAGCTGTCCTGTTTCCTCCAAGTTTTGGATGAAGGGACTCGCTCACATGATCAAGCACAATTCTCATGTAGAGTGGAATTGCAACTCATTCTGTATATGGAGCTAACTATTCTCTATAAAAAATGGTACTCGTCAATTAAGTGGGACACATCAAGCAATCTTTCTCTACATATTGGACACATATACAAGCTTTGGCCCAAAAGTAAGTGTTTTCCTAAGCAGGAAAGATGACCCTTTTTCTACCAGATCCTTGGAGAGCCATTTATTGACAGTGCTCTTGATACATGAGAGCTTCTCAGCCAATTCGCCAACCGACATTGCCACTTTCATTCATTCATGTTTTTTAATGCATTTTTAGTATTAGTAGGTCAAATCCGGTTGTCCGGAGGTTGGTACGTCCCAGCCTTATCCACCTTTCCGCTGTAAATGTATTATTTATTTATTATTCACATGTCTTATTTTTTCTTTTATATAAATTTTATTAGTTGCATTTTGTGGTATTGGCAAATTTTTATTTCTTATACTAAATTTTAGGATTTATTTCTCTATTTAGATTTATGTCCTCTAAACACTTTACAGGTTTAAGTGCAAAACTAATAATTCATTAAAACGATTAAATTATTTTTTTAAAGATTTTCTGATGGCAATATTACGAATATGGAGGGGAATAGTTAGTTTAAAATTACAACATATATACTCAATTTATAGTTTTTTACATAATAATTAAATTGTAATTTACATAGAAGGTTCTTTTCGAGGTCGTAAAACGGCAGAAAATTAGTTTTATTGCCTGTACTAATTTATAATAAATGTTACCTAGAATTGTACAGTGCAGGGACCCTTTTCTTTTTTTTCCCAAGCTAATTGACAATTGTATTTGACCCTGCGCCAATGACACTGCGACCTAGCCAGAAAAAGATCACTTCAGACAAAAAAATTTATTTAGAGGTCGTTATTGCTATCGACAGGATGTTCGATGTCATGCAAGATCGACAGATAGTCTGATGAACGCGGTTTATTCGCCGTTGACTGCAATTTCTTGAACACCCCACCTGGTAAAATGTTGGTGCTGTTCGTGGTGATTTTTAGTTATACAACCGCACAAATACCGTGCCCGGTGAGTAATCTTAACTATAATTGTATAAAATTTAAGAAAGTTTTTCTAACAGTGGTCAATCTTGGCAGAGAAAATCCTATGCCTAAAATAAATGCCAATTTTTATCAGCACAATGCGAATATAAGCTACAAACAATTTATGTAAAGCAATTAAATACATTTTTGATAAAATTTAATAGAGATTTAGCATCATTTAGAGAGACGTTTCTTAATCCTTTTGGTCTACCTATACTCGCTGTTTTGGTCTGTCAGACGCGATGACGCGTGTTCGGCTTTTACCAGCCCAACACAGCACATAGGAAGACAGGAATGATGTGGAAGTCCAATGTACAAATCAACATCACGCAGACTTCAAAAATAAATAACACAATAATCTGAGATGCTAACAATTTCTAATTGCCCTGGAAGTTCCAAAATTATTGGATATATGTGTCAAGGTCTGCTCTTGATTCAACAAGACGGGCCCAACTCTGAATCCTTTTTATTAGAAACAGAGCCCCAAAGGTCTTCATCGAACCTGAATACAACCGATCAGGTGCCTTTTTATAATAAAATTTAATTCAATTTTGAAAACAATTTATTAATCACAGTTTTGGTCTGTTACATTTTGGCTTTTGCCAGAAAAAAATTATCGGTAACGATTAAATTACAGGTTTAGTAGTTAAAAAAAAGACAACATAAGTATATAGAGACAAGCATCCATTGTACTGACCATTACTAATTTACCAATATGTATCATAAACCTCTTTTCTTATTATTATAAATTTTTATTAAATTTAGCACTATTTTGAAGCTTTCTATTACCATAAAGATAAATTTAATAATTTATATCGATATTACTAATAATCTTGTAATATAATTTCATGGCGGAAACGAGTCGGTTCCTTCTTTCTAATGTTCATTTCTTTTTTCCTCAATATTCAAAATTTTTAATAAATCTGTGCCAGAATGCAGAGAAATGTTAGCCATACATGAATAAACAGAAAAACGCTCAATAAAATTCTATACCTAGTTACAATTTCATTATTTGGCCGATCCATAAACTTGGAACCCGTACATCCAAATAGGTTTGAGAAAGTATGTGTATGTCGAAAGTTTTGATTTGAATGGTCGGTTAAGCAGGTAATAAAGCAATGAAGCATTTTAGTTTGTTGAGTGTCTGTTTTTTAATCGCGCGTGCGTGCGTGCGAGTTTGTGTGTGTGTGTGTGTGTGTGTGTGTGTGTGTGTGTTTGTGTGTGTGTGTGTGTGTGTGTGTGTGTGTGTGTGTGTGTGGATTCTAAGTATGTCTTCTATCAAATGTAAGTCCTAAATAGTTAACTTAGTCGGATTGAGGAACAGATTTTTGTACAAGTATATCCCAGAACAATTCTCATGGCGGAGTGTAAAATTTTCCATTTTTCAATTGTTGATATAAGGTGTTGTAAGATGAGAGAAGCTTGTGCAGTTGATAAGTGGGCGAATATGTGGCAGATGTGACTTCCACACGACAATGGCATATAAAACAAATATTACAAGTGTAACTACATGAAATCATGACTACGATTATAAAATCTTATAGACATTTCGCCGTCTACATTGACAGATTGGTTGATCAGGGTTATGAGTTCTAAATTTACCTGAGAATTCTTTCTCCTAGCCCTGTGTTTGTATTTGGGTGTTCATGAGTGGTGATTGACGTGTCTTTTCCTAGCACCCACAGATGGACAGTTTGTTCTTTAATTATGAAGTTGTACTGCAGGACAGCTTATTTACATATTTATTCAGACGTGCTCCAATCATTTATGTGAATAACATTGTCTTTTGACTGTAATCTGCAGTCTGTCCTGTGCTGATATAAGTTTAACAGGATTAAGTATTTAGTAGTTTTCTAAGCGTTTATTGTAAATCAATATATGAAGTCTTCAGACTTTTATCAAGTTTTTGCTAGATTCTTCTAGTAACATTAAATAATAACAATTTACTATAGGAATCTAGGAGATGTATGCAGTGGTTGATCTGGGTAATTTGGTTGCAAATATTTAAAAGAATAATTTTGTAAATATATTTTTGAAATTAAGGTGCCGTGGTGGTACTGCTTGAACCGAGAACCGAACGATAATTCGCAAGTGTTCGTCGTCGACACGTCCAACAGATCAGCCCGGTGGAATTGGAATTCTGGCGATGGACGGTGGGACGTCGCATACCAGCATTCTTTCTCTTGTAAGTCGATCTAACGACAGCTTCAATCGACTAAGAGTTTTCTCGTTTTTTAGCCGGTTACTACGGGGTGCACGCTTGCTACACGAGAAGCGTGGATAGCGTACAGTCCTGCGTCGCATACAACAAAGATGGTTCTTGGAGGAGCAACGCGGTGCCGGTCAGCAACGTCGGTAGCTGGGATATAGCTTACAACGGCGACATTTTCGGCTTTAAACCCCAGTCCAACGGGCAGTACATCTTTCACATATACTCAAGTAAGTAAACCACAAACGACAAATGTAACAACAAAATAAAATAATCTGTTAAAGGGAAATTAGAGCATAACCCGTTTATCCAGTCACCAATTGGTCCCATCGGTCCTCCGAGTGAAAATTTGACTCCAACTAAAAAGCAGTGCTCTTACACGTCGGAAGACAACACTCAGGTTGGAAATAATACCTAATGTATAAAACATTCCTTTGCTGATGTGTGTCACCAACCACAATGAAGTTAATGGTGATATCCTGACGGTCGATTCATCCTTCCTTCGTTATTAATTTTTGATTTACCATAATATATTCAGTTAACAGTTTAATTTTAGGGTAGGTTTTGGTCGTTAGAGAGGAAATCAAGGACCAAATGTTCAGTCCAGATAAATAGGGAAGACCTTGTTTCTCCGTACGAATGGAACTGGGATACTGACAACGGCAAGTGGATAATCGTTTATAGCTGGACGGATTACGGTAGATCTGATGCAGGGCTTTCGTCCGTCGATCCTTTCTCAAAATTCTTTTGGTTTAAGGTTTGACGAACAGCACTGTGTACTACATGAGGTACGGATCGGCGGTACAGAACAAGGTTCTCAACTGGAATTTCGATCCGAACCTTTTGACCATCTCTTATGCCTCGTCCCCTATCAAAATCTATGATGAATCAGCCTGGAAGTTGAAGGTGAACGGAAAGGAGACGTTCGGCTACACCCCAACCTACGAATCCTTGTGGACTTTTCCAATATTTTCAAGTTAACAAGCTTTCTGTTTATTCATTTGTAGATTTTACCAGGCTAACTTTTGCCTTTGTTTTAGGAAATGTTATAATCAGACCATTTGAAAAAGCGAACGGTTTTTTTGATCTTCAGAAACAGTATACTTCAACCTAACATATTTATTTTATATTAAAACATAAAATGTAAAAATATACTTTTATTTATTTAATAATAATATTTAATAATATTAGTTCTTGCATTTTTGAGCCAAAAACATCTTGTCATCGCCGCACAGGTATTTATTTTTGTGTACCTTAGTCGATTTCGATAATTTTGATCTGCCTCTTCGCTGTTTTGGTCTGAGCTACATAGCTTTGGAGTTTCGGCCATATTCAAAAAGAAAAGAAAAAAACCCGAGAAAGTACACAAACCAACTAGGAAAACACAATCACCCCGACCTCGAAAAGAAATGTTATAATTAAATTCCATTTTTTTAGTGCACTACAACTGCTAGATGGTTGTGTTTTTATGTTTTAAGTCACTAACTTTGTGCAGCACTTTTAAGTTTTCCTGATATGCTAGTTAATTAGTGGAAGATGGCTCCGCCAGAAAAAAGGAAATGAAATATTCTAGTAATATTATATCGTACAATAGTAATAAAAATGTACAAACATCAGTATATAAAAGCTCTTTATTGTTTTTTGTTTCTTTTCGAAGATTGGAATTATAAGCTATCCTGGTACAAAATGAGCAAATATAAATATTTATTAAAGAATAAGAAGAATTTCCATGCCGGACGTCCTGAAGACTAGATGGAGAGCATTAAAGTTCCATGGTAGTTTTCTTCAAACGTTAAACATGAAAAATGATGGCATCGTTTGTACCATAGATATTTTCAGGTCTTTTTAGAGCTTTATGTGAAGATACTTTCATTTCATCTTATATCTCCAGATAGAAGTCACTCGTTCGTCTGGCCGCTTGACGGGAACAACGGTTTAGTGTAAATTCAGTCACGCCAACATAGTCAATCGGGAAAAATTAATCCAAATTAAAAAAAATTAAATTAATTTTATGTACAATAAAAAAATATTAAAAGAAACATAGCTGTTCAACTTTTATCCTGGAAGAATTCTTCGATTTCTGCCAGCGTTTTCCCTTCGGTTTCGGGCTGTCGGAAATAGAGGAATACGAAACCGAAAATACCGATAATCCCGTAAACTATAAGCGCTCCTTCGAGATTAATCACGGATGCCATGTCGACGTAAGTCTTGGAAATGATGGACATGAAAACGTACGACGAAGCGGCGACCAGACCGGCGGAGAACCCTTTAGCGCTGAAAACGTACATACATTAAGGATTGATCCTATAAGAACTGTTAATACAGTTTATAAAAATTTGACTCACTCTAGTGGAAAAATCTCACAGACGAGAACCCAGGGAAGAGTCATGCTGCCAAGTCCTCCGCAGAAGAAGTTGACACAGAAGAGCAGGACCGGTACCCACGGAACGTCGATCTTCAGAATGATGTATATTGCCAGCAAGAAACATGACAACACTCCGCCTATCGTCGACGCGATCATCAGTACTCTTTTTCCTAATTTATGGATCAAAATAGCGCAGAACACGCTGCCAATCGTTTGCAGTAGACCAGCGAGAACCTAAGGATAAAAGTCGCATTTAGAGCGGGAAAATCTGAAGTTGAAGCTTTCGCCTACCAATACTGAATATGGAGACAAAGAGGTGTTAAAGCCCTTGAAGATCGATACCAGGAATGTTCGCAGTCCAATAAGGGATATGCAGTGGCCGATAAAGAAATAAACCATTGTCAAGATTATCGGCCGGTAGACTCGACCTTGGTTCAACAGTTTCATTTGGGCCCATTCTGAATTTCTCTTCGGTTTTATTGCAACGACATTATGTTCATCTAAAGAAAATATTTATCTTACGATTTCTCGTCAAAATATTTTAAAAACTGTTATAGTAATAGTTCAACAAACTTTTTTCTGTCGTGTTGACTTGGACGTAACCTTGATTAATCGAAGATGTGAGGGCGATAAATTCATGTTGTATCTCTTCACTTTTCAACCACCCTCTCAGCCATCTCAAAGATTTCTCTGCCTCCGTGTTCCGGTTGTTTAGCAAGTACCACGTTGGTGATTCTGGAACCTAAAGAAATGCTGTTAGTAGTACACAAACGGTATTAAAAAGTTCGACTGTTACTGTTCAACTGCGCTTACGATGGAAAGCAAAATAAATGCCAGCACAGGAACCGTCAATGCGACGGCACATGAGTTGCGCCAGGTGAGCATCGCTCCGATGAAGAACTTGAAGAGTATACCGAGCAGGAGAAACACTTCGGAAAAGGAAGAAAGCGTTCCTCTGAGCCTGGGCTCGCAGACCTCGCCGAGGTAGGACATGGCTGGGGCTTCCATGAAGCCCACACTAAGTCCCATTATGACCGCAGCGGTGAACAGCTGCTCGATGCTCTGGGCGAAGTACAGGATGATCCAGCCAATGAATTGAGGAATGGTGACTGCCATCATGCATCGCTTTCTTCCCAAATGATCTTGGATGAAACCTGAAGTCAGGCTTCCTAACGGCTGTGCTATATATACCACACTCCCTAAAAAAGTTTAAATTCACATTCAAGCTATATGCAAAAAAAAAAAAAAACGCAACATGAAAATGCAGCCAACGTTCATATTAAAGGAAAAACAAACTGAAAACTGGTTAATCAAGCTGCATCGTTACCGAACCACGATGCCTGCTGGTCTGTGAATGGAATCTCGCTCTCAAGTATGTTTCCGAATTCGTCCTTTTTATGCAATGCTCCTATCACGATCGTCGGCATGACGCAAATCGTAGACACACTAAAGATAAGCATGCCGAAAGCCAACGTGGCCAAAATCTAAAATTTAAAAATTGGCTTTAAATCACATCTCGGTCAACCTCGAAATTTGCTTAAATCAGAAATGCAATTGATCCAGCCTCACCTGAGGTAAGGTCTTCCTCAGTGCAGATCGCTTTTTGTGGACACCATTTCCTGTTGGTAAGAAGAGCGCGTGGTTTTCGGCCTGCTTTTCCAAGTCTGGCATCTCCGGAGGCAGAGAAACTTCGATGTGAATCAGGAAGAGTGACAAGACGAGAGAATATCCTTTTAAATCCTAATCGCGATGAGACGGTCACGGTCAAATTTTGCACTAATTTTACACTGCGGTAGTAAATCCTAAATCTTTTTACAATCCGGTAATCCACTCGAGGGGTTGTAAACCCGTTTAATCGTTTCTGCCTCCTGTGTCAACCAATTGACACTAAAAATAAGCGAAACATTTCAGGGGCAATTCGCTGCTATTACACTCGCCTTATTAAAACAATTATGCAATAAATATTCTATCCATCTATATCTGTCCCCGGCACTGCTAACGAATTGTGTTTTATGCAATAAATTAAATAAACAATTAAGGAAAAAAATAATTAATCCTATACCAACTGGAACTTCTGTTTGTGTGCATACAAAATGAGAGAGAAGTGAAAAACACACGACCAAAACTGCCCAACAGATGTTCAAACTGACATAGAAAAGACCATCAATTAGTGAGAAATATATAAACATTTAATTTTTTCATAATCAATCTTTTAGTTCTGAATTTATCAAAGGTTCTCACAATTATTTAACTTATTACATTTTTTTTAAAAATTACAAATATCAAAATATGTATAATTTAATCCTATTTTTTAACCACTCGAAAGGGGCACTATGTGTTTCTAATACTCAACTCCGACTTTCCACTTTCACGAAGCTTCTGCGAGTTTACTCTGTTAATCAAACAGAGGGAAAGAGGGATACGGAGGAATAGGAGCTGGACCGTTCACATCCTAAACCCTACACAACCTACCTTACCACTCCTTCTATCGTAATCCCAATACTAATTCAACAATCCTGCTCCAATCTAAGTGCTTATGCGACCCGTGCCGATGGATGGATGGATGGTACAGGGATAACTATACCAATAACGTAGCATCAAGGGTACCAGGTGACCCCTTGAGCAATCAATCTTATACCGGAGAGAGGCGGGCTTTTAGATGCCTCATACTCGTGGGAATCAAAGGGATAAACCAAAACATGACAAAAACACCGGAGGAACTTGGAAAGGAAGACTTCAAAAACAAACTTATGGAAATTGAATGTGGCGCCGAACCCTCTTCACTCCCCTAAACCAAGAATTCGAAGACAATCTCCCCGCATCTCTATCTGCAGATGTTGGGAGTCTTCAAAAAGATATAAATACCAAACCGGAAGACGAAACTACTTATATGGAGGTGACGGAGAAGACTGAAAAACCTCAATCCTAAGAATCTCAGGGGCTCAGAGGCATAAAATGACAATCGAACGAGCCAAACAGAAAGGCGAGCCAATCCTGAAAACAATCAGGAAAGGGAAGTAAAACCATAATATTTACTTCCGAGCTCCGGCAGCCACAACCCCCACAAATGCACTAGAAACTTTGCTAAACATACCACCACTTGAAACATTCATACAAAGAGAAGCAAGGAAGAGAGCTCATGTAGGATCTAAAACCATTCAAATTGGATGGGAACGAAACAATTCGGGAACACAACCATAATTAGAAATCAGACACCCTTTTTTAGAAATGGGGACTGATCCCAGAAATATTCTTTACAACATCCCATAAAGTCTCAATAGATTATAAAGGAGAGGAAGAACTTGGGAGAGCATCAGTTACAATGATTTGGTATACAGCTGGCTCCAAAATAAACCAAGGAACCGGATCGGGTGTTTTTTGTACAAGCCCAAAACATAAACGACCAAACTTATTAGGGACTTTCAAGCAGAAATGCATGCCATCAATGCTTGTGCCCGAAATAGAAAATTTTAATCACTGGCAAAAAAATCCCCTAAGATCAATAGCCATGTGGCTATTAAAGCATTAGCGAGTAACAAACCACATCAAAACTAATCAGCGATTGCATCTAAAATCTCCAAAATTTAGGGAAACACAACAATGTAATGATATCTTGGGTGCCAGGAAACAAAGGAATTTGGTGAAAAAAGCGGACTCATCGGCCAGAGGACGATCTGCAAGACCATATAAAGACCCTGAACGATGATCCCATTTCAAGATTATGTAATGAGGAGGAAGAAACAGCCACCCATATTATCTTCGAATTCGAAGCAACAGCTCAATGGAGACATAACCTGTGGGGAGGAAACAGGGAATGAAATTGTAGCAGCGACAGCCAATGACCTAATTACTTCTGAGAAGAAGGATTGAGTCGACTGCATGGACTAATGAATTAGGAAGGTACAATAACCCAGAAAGCTGCAGTGCCTGGGGAGCACAAACACTCGCGTCCTAGCATCCATCTCTACCTCCTCATCATCAACCATTAGAAAACACATTTAACAACTTTGTATTGGTTAACCTCTACAAAATTTCAGTCTAAAATTAGACCCATTCGATTGTACTATAATTCATTCAGCCAGTCAATTTAGATAAAGGCGATATCCAAATATTTATCCTTATTTACCACTTGACTGTGAAGGAGGTATCAGGTGTAAAAGAAGTATTTATATTACGTGACCGTTGACTGGATTACGATCGTAATAAGGGAGTTTTGTTTATTTACAGAGCCATCGTTGAAAATGAAATGTAAAAGATTAAACGTTCAAAAAGATTTCTGATTCTGGTTTTTGAATACGAATGCAGTTTTATTTATTATGGGCCGGGCCACTCTTTTCTTTTTTCGATCGCGAGTTCTGGATGTCCCAAAGGATTGGATTCAATTCGTCGGTGTAGATAAAAAAATTCACTTTTTGGAATGCATGTTGATAAGACGATTAATGGCCAGCCAAGTCAAGAAAATTCTGCAATCGGAAAATCATTTTACATATGATGGTGAAAATTGAATAGTACTTTCTCACTATAATCTGTTCAAGAATATATTACATCTAGTAATAAAGCAAGCAAAAATTTTGTCATATGATAATCATATATCGGCAACTGATAAAAAATCCAAAACAATGTGGGGGGGTAGTAAGAATGGTAACTGACCATCCCCCAAAGATTTTTCAGTTAAAGAAATTATGATAAATGGATTCTTGGTTTAGTATGTATGTGGTGCTTTTAATTTACATTTTACTCATTTGACTACAACAACTATTCCTGATATATCAAAATATGGCCGTACCTTAACAAAAGTTGCTAATTCTTTCTATTTCTTTCCCTGCACTGACCATGAGATTGCTGGTATTATTGATTCTTTAAAAAATGGGCCTTCCACTGGCCTAGAGGATTTTAATAGCTTTTTCCTGAAACAATGTGCTGTTTGTATTTATATGTAATTGTAGTCGAATCTGGCTTTCACTCAGTAATGCTATAAACAACAAAGCTTGTGCCTGTTCATAAAAATGGTGCAGGCATGGTATGGATAATTACAGACCTATTGCCCTGTTATCTATTTTTAATAAAATCATTGAAAAATTGATATATATGACCACATTGAAAAGTTTGATTTATTTTCAAAATTCCAGTTTGGGTTCAGAAAATTGCTGTCCACGGAGGATGACCTCTATTCCATATCTGAGGAAATAATAGGTTCAAAAATGAAAAATCTTTTAGTGATAGGCACCTTTTTTGATCTAACTAAGTCCTTTGATCTTGTCAACCAGTGTTCGCCTGGATTGGTCATACCTCTTATTTAACGTTTTCATCAATGACTTAGTCAGTAGTGTTAAGGTTGGATCTTCGTATCTATTCGCGGATGATGCCACTCCAGAGGGTTCAAGTGCGACTGAACTTAGTTTAAACTTAAATGAGTCTTTACATCAAATAAAAAGTTGGATGCATAAGTATTAATTGAAATCGCACCGAAAACGTTCGCTGGCTACCTAGTCACCACTTAAGATCCTGTAGTGACTACACTAGGTGTCACTACACTTCAACAATGATCTCGCCTTCCATGTTGCAGCCGACGAGCTCATCGGGGCTCAACCTGCTCAGTACTGAGTACTGATGCTTATTTCAGACTCCTCGATGAGGTCTCAACTCTCACATGGAGCAGCTGTCATCACTAACAAGGGTCGCAGCCTACTGCACGAGACCCTTCATTCGTTTCCTGTATACTTAGTTCTGCTGCATTGACCATTGACTCCAAATCATATGGCATATTTGCAAAAGGTGGAAAAAAGTATAAAGAAGGTACTACATTTTAGTATTTTTCTATATAAACCCTAGTTTGTCATTTGTGGTACGGTCATTTTGAATTCCTATCATTTTCCAGTCATCCATTGGAAACGGGAAAAAAAAATTCTTATGCAGGAATCCAAATAACTTAATTTGCTACAATTTGTTTGAAGGAGAAGCTAATTCGTCCTCTGGAGATTTGAAAATTGTTGGCGCATATTTCTACTATGTATTTTGGCAATGATTTGAGTAGAATCCAATATTTCGATCGTTTCCTGGATTTCGTATTCAATCTTTCTAGTTTGTACTCATTAATGTCGTGCAGTTCAAAATGCGATGTCTTTGTCGGCTGTAAAATTCGTGAGTTTATACCTAGACCTTTTATATACGTTTATATTTACATTTAAAAAAATCAAATCCTTTTCCCTACTAATTTGACAATTCATTCTTATAATACTTATTTCAAGAATGATTTTAGATCAGGTCATAATAATCGTAGATGGTCTAATAAATGAGTTTCTCACAATGGGACTTACATTTTCAAAGCTCTCCCTGCTAGTATCAAAACGATTAATGGTTTGTCTAGTTTTAAAAAGGCTTTGAAGATAAATTTCCGAGGAAAATCGTGATGATTTAAATGAATTTTTTAGTTCATCAGGACCGTGATACTTTATTGTGATAATTTTGTAATTATTTGTTAAGTCTAATTGTATTAATTTATTTGAAACTCGACGTTTTTACGACAATGTATAACACGACAAAATGATTTTGTTGTATTCTATGTTTCAATGAGCTTGCAAACATCCTCGTGGGTCCATTTTTTATTGGATTGGGCCATAATTACTCTCAGCAAATTCAAATTTTTACTTTCGACGAGAACTCTCAAGTGTAAAGACGAACTTTTCAGTTATGATTAATAAATAATTAGTCTGATTTGGTATCGATGGGGGATTTTCGGCGTTGTTATTGACATTATTATTAATATTTTGATGCAAAGTCTCAGTGATGAAAAGTGCAGTTTATGCAGAGTCCAATTTGTTATAACTTGTGGCTTTTTATTTATTTGCGTATTAATACTATTTATCATGTATAAAAAATTGTAATAGTTTTTTCAACACCGCCCTGAGGTACATCAAGTACTCTGAGGTGAGTGTGTGTCGTGTGGGGAGTAAATGTAATTTATTAGCGAGAATGGAGTACTTCTCGTCCCGAGGATATCGAGTACTCTGAGGGAGTGAATGTTAACAGTCTTCTATATTTGTATTTTCATATTATTATTTATTATTATAATTATTATTGTAATATTGTAGTTTTAATTTATTAAATTAAAAGATTCTTTATCTTGACTTAAAAATCTAAAATGATTTGTGTCCGAGAGTGAAAACACTCAAAAGTTGCATAAATGATTTATTAGACACCTCCTTTTATTTTACGACAGCTGTATCAACAGAAGTAAATTAGTATCAGGCCTTTTGAATGATCCGACAACTGCGATTACTTTTTACGAGGGCAAGAAAAAAAAGTTTAATATCCTCTCATTGTATCCTGCCATCATAACTTTATCGTTTCTGAATTGGAAATCCTTTTACGGCCCCGGCTTATTATTTTTTAACCGGCTGTAAAACAATTAACTCGCCGTCCCCGAGACGAGTATGTGCCTGAATTTTAAGCAACAGCCATCGGCACAACGGATGCTTCGAGAATCTTTAGTGCGTTGTTCGTCGATTTAGCAAAAATAGTCACTTCCTCTTATTAAGTAAGTTTAGCAGCACCTAGGGGGTATATTTATTTTTCTGTTGTCGTACTAGCAACAACTAATTTTCGAAGAAGAATATAGTATGTAACAAAAGCTGAATTTACTAGTGAAACTTAAAGCAAAACAAGAAAATTCTTCTTGAAGTGAACACAGGTTTTCAATCTTGCAGTGTAAAACATCTCATTCTGTTTAAAATCTGTATTAATAAAAATGCATTTCTGAGTTTTCAGATTTTCTTTAATACAAACTGTCATAATGAAACCCCCCACTGGGTATTTTTTTTACAATATTTTCAATCAATTAATTAATCTTTATATAAGGTATCGGTTGAAAAGTTGAAAAAAAGTCAGTGTCACGAGCGGGATTCGAACCCACAACCTTCGGCTCTATACTCCGCTACTCTAACACTTGAGCTACCGTGACTTCGATCCACTCGGACACCAACTCTCCATCTCAACTTACCTTTCGAATTTTCCTTCCTTTTTGCTATTTTTGAAATGTCGTGTTATCAGGATTCGCTGACAAATGAAACGGCCACGGAGAGCTCTTAGTAAAGCTTCTATACTTCGTTTTACTTACTAAATCCTTTATATTTTGTGAGTTCGAATCCCGCTCGTGACATTAACTTTTTCATTTCAACCAATACCTTATATAAAGAATAATTAATTGAAAGAAGTTATTTGGTCAATGGACCACGAAATATAATGGATTTAATATTTTCAATTTTGATTGAAACAAAGGTGGTAAAATGTGATTTGATCATTAATCTCTACTAATCTCTGCTTCACATTTCATCTTCATCCAGGGACGAGATAATGCAGCATTATGAAGGTAATTGAAGTAATCCCCTAGTGGTCTTTACTACTACTCTAAGTTACCGTTTTATTTCGTTACCGATCATTTTGCCTGCTGTATCGGTCATTCAGATGCATTGTAGCATATCGCCTCCTTCATTGGTTGGTATAAAGTATTCCTACATAAGTGGGAAGGAATGAGGGAGGATAAGCGTGAGAGGATGATTGATTGATTAACGTTTTTTGTATATTCGCAGTGATCTGGCCAACTAACTTGACATCCAATGACAAAACTGACAGAGGAAAGGTATTAATTAAAAAATTATTCAAAACAAGTCATAAAAACAAAAAGATCTCTACAGATTTTTTAAATAGAAAAATTATTAATTAAACCCACAAAATTCTCAATGTTACCTGTTTGCTCAAAGGATTATGATGGTGTCATACTTTTTGTTAGTAATGACTAGTGATGCGATATGATCAAAATATAAAATATTGATAAACTCAACTATTGAGATAGTTTTCTACAATTTTATTTTGCGGTGTTTCTAAAGAACGTTTTGTCAATTTTAATAAGCCCCCAACACATCTCTTGACGGAAAGTGATTATACTGGAAAAATTAATTTATTTATCCTACATGGACACTACAATCATAAAATTAAGACTTAATTTATCGAGTTTACTTTATTTTCTATTGTTTTATTTTCAAATTGTCTCAGAACTTGAAATCATGGAGGAGATAAGTTTAAAGTTCATTGAAAACAATACAGCACACCTTGATTTGCAAGCCTAAAAGGATTCCTGTGTTCTTTGGTCTTGGGTGCATATATATATATANCACACACACACACACACACACACACACACACACACACACACACACACACACACACACACACACACCCTACTCTTGCACAGAATATGACTACTTGACTACTGGGTGCCTTAGCAGAACCTCAAAGCACTTGATGAACCAAACAGCTGAACAAATGTACTTTATAACTACATTTATTTTACAAATGTCAAACGGCATCTCGTGACCTCTTGACCCATGAGCAGTGTTGATGTTTTCTTGAGTCAGACTTTAAAGCTACACGCAATGGCATGAATTAACGAATTATCAATTAAGTTCAAGATGTAATAAGATATTACAATCAAAACCCAATTTTTAAGTTGCTGTTTTCCAAGATTCTTTGCTTTGAACTTAATTGAAACTTTATAATGAACTATCGTTGGTTTGGTTATCCAACTTTACTTTTTATGGATAACATGATATCGCAAAATCGCAAACTTTCTTACGAATTTTTTTATTATTTTTGAAAACCCTCTTCATATATTTAGGGGAGTCGGTGGGGCTCATCACTGTAAGGCAAATATTCAGGGTTAGAATCCAGCGGCTCTGCATTCTAACTCAACATACTTATAAATAAAGGCTTTTTTTTTCAAAACACCGGCACATCGCGAGAGTTCATCTAACTCGAAGGTGAAACACCCTTGTAAAAAAACAAACAAGATTTTGGAGGACAACAATTTTTTCGACTTTCAACGTGAATACAAGTCTTCCTTACCTTCGGTAGTTCGGAAGCAAAACGTCTGCAAATTGGGTATGCAGTATAGTTTTTTCACTTTTTGTGCATGCACATGGGCATAAGTTAATCTGGTTGATATAAATTCATAGATCATCTAGATAGCAATCCTCATAATCCCTGAAAATTGCATAAGAATCCGACAATTGGTTTCAGATATATAGCTGTGTACTTTACGTTTGTGCTTGCGAATACGCACATGTCAATCCGACTGGTATAAAATTCGTAGATCATCTAGAAATCAACCCGCTTAATCCATGAAAGTTTCATAAGAATCCAAATTGACAAGGATTTGACCACTGGCAGGCAACACGGAACTCTTTGTTCAGGAAGATCTGAAACGCAAAATGCGAGTGGAAATTTTGATTTTGGAGGACAACAATTTTTTTTCGACTTCCCGCATGAATGCAAGGCCTTCGGTCATTCGGAAAAAATAATAACACATTAGTATCGTGCAAGTTAATGACTAATAAGCAAAACGTGCGTTCGTCCATTGTGTCGTTGGACGAACGGCCGATGCGGCAAAGCACTTATGAACTGCTTGGAAAATCAATACTATAAAAAACACAAAATTACTGTTTTTAGTATTGTTAAAATGTGTTTATTGCAAAGTAATCATATAATAAAAAATATCGATCAACATCAAGTACCGATGAAATCGATAATTTATACCATATTTTTTATACATGAATGTATTAAAAAAATAGAAACAAGTTGTATTTTGTAATTACCTCATCCTGCTGTGAACTTTACATGCAGTTCAGCTGTATAAACCTGTTTTCCTTATTATTTATTTAAAGTCTATATGTAAACTTAATCAGAAAGGGTTCATAAAAGAAAAAACATCCATTTTTCAAAAACTTATTTACATGTAAATATAACAAAATACATATATTCAAAATATACATAGACTTGGACTATTTTTATTGTTGAGATCAAACATAGAAACGTATACTGTATCTCCGTAATATTTAGTTTTTATTGATACTACGGCGGCCAAGTACGTAACACTTCAAATATTAACATCTACGCCAGTTCAATTTCCATAGTTCGATAATTTCCCTGTCCGATTAGTATGCTAAAAACAGTTAACAATGAGAAACAATAAAAAAAGAAAAAAAAAGAAAAGAGATTTCCGTAATTAAAATCTTAAAATGTAATATTCGTTTTAGTTTTGACGTTAAGCATCTTCCTATTTTGACCTCGTCTCATTACTCAATGGTGGAGAAATTTTGAACTATTCGTGTGAGTTTTGGTGTATTTCGTAATGTCAATTAAGAAACGGGAAAAAAGTAAATTGTACAAGATTTATATACAAATTTAATTTCAATTTGCTAAGCGTGCTGGAATCGCTCCAGCTTGCTCGCCTAAGAATTGAAACTGTAGGGCTTAACAAAAACGTATTGTGTGGTATTCGTTTTGTCGATTAATAACAATGTACATTTAAACACAATTCAAAATTAATTATAAACAATGAAATCCTCGGTTTTAAGAAACTGCGATAGCTTTTAACTGTCAAAGTATTTGATTTCGTTATTGAATCATTTTTGTACGTAAGTATCATCATACAACGATATCGCACATAGAACGTTTTACTTATAAACGATGGTAAGAAGGTCCGAATGGTGAAACCTTGGAAAACATGGATGTAGACACAGGGCTGGTGTGTCAGGACACTGTGAGCAGTAGTAAGTGGTGTCTTTTCGCCTTCCTTGGCTGTAGCAGAGCTTGCACCTCTTTCTGAGGGCTTTGCCGCGTTCGTTGACCGAGTGCCGCGTCGGGAGATGGTGGGCCGATCCGAGGAACCTAGTCAAGAAGACCCTTTTCAATGAGAGCAGTTCGCGTACGATCGAGAGGCGGAAGTCGAGCAGGCTGTAACTGTCGTCTGCGTGGAGGGAGAAAAGTCGGTACGCATTGAGTACCATCAGTTGAATCAAGTGTACCGCAAATTTCTTAAAGCACCGCAGCCTCAGCTTCTCGCAGGGGTAGTATTCGAAGACGTCGTCCGTCCTTTTCGAATTGATCATGTACTCGTGATCTACCAGGGCTTTAGGTCTCGTTTTCAGCTTTCCCTGGCTTTTGATGTTGACCATCTGGTTGTTGTTCACCGAAGTGATGTAGAGCGTGTGTCTTCTGTCTTTCCATTTGCAGACGGCAACACCTTTGGAGTATTTAGTCACTAACTGCCCTTGATTCAGAGATGGGACGTCGTAGCCTTTGGGCAAACGGTCCGACCTGAGGACGCCGGTGCAGTAGGTCCCTCCTTCTTTGAGTAACGACGCCAATTTTAAACTAGTGTAAAATTCTACCAAGTAGAGAGAGTGACCGTGAAACAGGTGATCGGAGACCAGTTCCATGACGATATCCTCGACCGGCATCCTGCCTTTTTCGCCGCCGAACAGGCAGCACTTGATGACGACTCCGTGAGCATCGCACAAGGAGTACAGCTTGATGCCATGTTTTCCCCCTTTGTTTTTTGGATCGTGGCTCATGACTATTCTCCCTTTGTGAGGGGTAACTGGCACATCGACGGTGAGGTCCCGCGCTCCGATGTAAAGGGTGGACATAGCTTTGTTAAAATGGTGGATCAAATTCTTCAGCTTGCAAGTTTCACTCGCGTCCTCTTCGGTGTCGTCCGCGAATCGCAGGCATTTGAGAATCATCAAAAATCTGTTTAAACTCATGTGGGATGAAAAACATGTCATGTTAAAGAGAGGATCTTTGTTCCAGTAGTCTTCGATATGCGGTATTTGAAGATGACCCATGTGTAAGAGGAGTCCGACGAATATTTTCAACTCGCAGGTTTTGAGTTCGACCCAATCGTGAGCCTTCTCGTTTCCGTCTTCCTTCATAAGTTTACTGGCATAGTTATTCGTGCGCTCGCATATCAAATCGAACAGCTCGTTGTCGATTAGCAAGAGCAAGTAGTCGATGGGTTCACTCTTCTGAGGCGGCGCGATCAAACCCGGCGTTTTGTTATAGACTTGGTACCCTTCTTCGTTGTTAGGGACGTCGCTCCATTCCACTTCCTCTCCTTGCACTTCAGGTGGATTGCCATCACCGGATGACTCGGAATCGCTTTCGCTCTCGCTTTCCGATTCGCTTATGTGAATCAACTCGCTCTCACTTACCGTGTCGATGTCTTCGTAGATCTTGAGCAAGTCCTGCGGTATGACGTCCTTCGGAGAATCCACGGCCGGCTCGCTCAAACGGGGAATTTTCACGCTCGGAGGCCCGAAATCCCCGTCGGAATCGGCCATGAAGCCCCTCGACCCAATTTGTTCTGTCGAACGAGTCAATGACGCGCTGTAAACAATCGAGTCGGGGCTCAACTGAAGTCGTCCGCCTCCGCCTCCGCCGCCCCCACCTCGAAAAGTCCTTCTACTGCCCGACGAGCATGCCCAGGGATAATCTTCCGGCCACCCCCTCATCTGCCTTTCGCCGCCCCCCATTCGCCCCAGCTCGACTTACCTCTGTCCAGCTACAATACATTAATAAAACAAGCTTCTGTAAAACTTTATAGGAAAACAACCTGACTGTAAATCACGAAAAATTATACAAAAATATATTTCTCATAAATTAAAAGTAAACATAATAATAAATACTAAATATATTATTCGGGCAATATAAAACAATAATTAACTTTAAAAAATGTAACGCGTAAACCTAAATAATGAAAGCTATTAGCAAGGAAAAATACTTAAATTTTTATACCCAAACCTCGAGTGTCGAGAATAAAACTGAGGAATGAAAGGTCATTTGTTATATGTTAAACATCTCAAGATTATTTCAAATGAAACTAGGTCAATTGTATTTTTTGGAGCTTAACATAATTCCCTTGTTTCTCTCCTGTTTTGACCAATGATTATAGATACAATTGCGTCAGTATTAACGTATAAATCATTAAATATTATTTTCAAAACTAGACGAAAATTGTAAAATGGTGTTTTTATGTTAAATACACAGTTAAGATATTTTTTTGGGTTTTTTCCCTTAATTTGAGTTTTGTTACAAAATATTTTTATCATCTGTAATTTGGACGTTACAGACCATTTTGGTATGCCCCTCGGTGGTGTCTCAGTTTATTAAAAACTATTTATATTCCGCCTAATTTACAAGAATCTTCAGGTCTAAAGCAGAACTTTACCTCAAAAAGCCCTACATGTTGGAGGCTTAATCACCTCTTTTTCATAAACGTGTATGAACAACTCTTTATCCAGAGGATGTTTACAATTTTAAAAAGAATTGTGTTTTTCGTTAAATACTAATATATTTTTGAACAAATAAATTTATTTTTGATTCTTTCTCATGATTTCATTATTCCAATGGCTGTTTTGTTGTACCAGTTTTATTTTGTATAAACAACGTAATTATTTATTATTATTATTTTACTGTAAACAGTAATGACTAATGTGCCTATTGATATAAGCTATGTGGGTGAATATTTTTTCCATTCGATGCTAACCTTTTATCTTTCACCAAGATTCCAACAGTTTGAGACGTACGATATGGGTGAGGTGGAATGTCAGCTGGGTCATTTGATGGGGGTCGGTACGCTGTCCTGAAGAACAAATGGAGATGATGGAGAGGATATACGCACACTCGGATAAAATGGTCAGTGAGTTAGCATTGAAGTATGAGAAAGTAACTTGAGGGAAGGATAAGTCCTAGGGCATGAAAAGCAAACCAAAGTGCTAAACTCAATCATTTCATTAATAGTTGAAATGAACATAATAAACACAAAGGTCCTCTCCAAATCCAAATCCTGTCATTATTGTTCAAATGTGATAGTTGAAGTTTGAGAACGTACTTCAGTGTTAATTTATATTGTTAAACATTATTAACATTTCTAGTGTAAAAGTTTTTATGTTGCGTTGAACAACTAAAACAGTAAAAAACGGACAATCGTTTCAACGTATAAATTATTAAATATAATTTAGAATACTTTTCAACAAATAATATTTTTGCTTAAATCTTGTTACAAAACATGTTTTCGATGTTCTCACGACTTGTTTTTTCTTCATTATTTTATTTTTTAATTTATACCATTTTTATTTTATACAAACAACTTAATGATACGATCTTTATTAATTTTCTGTTGATCGTTTCTAACTTTCTGAAAAATTCTGACGGTTTAGTTTTGAGTAAATAATAACAGATTTTCTTGTAAATATCCTATAAATATCGTATTTTTAACGTGTTGTTTGTAAATAAATTGAAAGTTTTATTTGAACGAAGCGAACATACATAAAAACAAAACAAAAAACAGTTAGGGAGTTTCTGGTAAATATGCTATTGTTAAATTTGTCCGTTGTTTACGAATAAAATAGAAAGGGTTTATTTTATTTATTTTTACAGCGAGTTGGACTCAATTGGGTTCCCAGTTCCGATTTTTGGTGGAAACAGGGTTGTTTTATTATATAATAACTGAAAACTTTGTGTCCCTAGTGTGTGTGGAGAGTGAATTTATTTGCTAGCGTGAATGTGTAGGGTGGGAGGAAGAAATCGACTACTCCACAAGCCTAACTGAGTGAATGGTATGTAAAAAGGAACGAATGTATTTAAGTAATTACCATTATTATTATTATTATTAATTTTTTATAAATAAATTTATTAATTATAATTTCTTATTATTATTTTATTAATATGTGTATGTGTGTATATGTATATATTTCCATATTTAACTTTACATTATTTCTAATTCAAATGTTTACTGAATATAATTCATCTAAATATGCACAAAATACTCTTATTTTTACTTCCTTAATCAACCTATTTTTTATGTAATTGTTTTCTAATATTATTTATATAATATTTTAAAATTTGTTACATTACTTTAGAATGACTATTTAACAATTAATTTTTTTTTTTTTTTTTTACTGGGGCTTCCGACATCTGGGTCATTTCAGCCCCAAGCTAAGTCAAGTCAATATTCTATTTACAAACACTACATTCATACAGATNGACCCTGGTAGTAGAGCCTATCGAGCTTTCTCAGACGCGTTTTTCGGGCCGAGGAATAGGCCATACATCCGTAGAAGATTCTCGAACACAGCAGCGAGTCAAACATTTTTAACAAGGTCTCCCTGTCCGCTCCCCATCTAAAGTGACCAATAAATTTCAGCAGTGTGAGGATTTTTCTGCCTCTGACCTCGACGGCGTCGATGTGTGGCTGCCATGTTTTTATATTATTATATTTTTTTATATTGTATATTTCTATATTTAAACATTTTTTGTAAATTGGATCCATTCCGTCAATTTTTTTATGGTGTCCATTCTGATTTTGTGGAACTCCAAAATAAGATGATGGGTAGAAAAATTGTCTTTTTCACAATAGGCCTGCTGTGGAAAAGACGATTTATTTCCTACCTATCTTATTATTATTATTATTAATTTGTTGATGTAGTGAGGAACGGTCAAGAATGAGGTAGTTTAGAAAAACACCTTTTTCATTTTTTTTGGGCGTTTCGACCTTTATTCGAGACATCTTCAGGGCCTGGGTGAATTACAAAACGTATGTTGATTGGACAGAATACAATACAAATGAAAATATAAATTTTGAACAGAGTGAATTTATATTTATTTACATCGTATTGTATTTTTTCCAACCAACATATGTTTTGAATTTCACTCAGGTCCTGAAGATGACCTGAATAAAGGTCGAAACATCGGCAACAAAAATAAAAAAAGGTGTTTTTCTAAACTATCTCATTCTTGAATGCTTCTGACGACTTCAACAGATTATTAAACAACCGGTCACTGGAAAAGACATTATTATTATTAAGAATGAACAAGAACGGTGAGGATGAGTTTGGATATAGGGACTAATTGCGATGAGAGCTGAAATGACCAAGCTGTTAAAGCTCCTGGAGTCCAACCTCGACGGCTGGACGGATATGACCGAGATCTGATCCCGGACCGCCAAAACCCGGGGGTGTTTCTCCAGGCCACTGGACCATCTGCAATACCGTCGAGAAATTACCTAACTCGCGCATCCATATTTTGTTGCAATTCTTTCGCTGTACCTTCAGCAATAACATGTTGCTCGGCAGCAATAAAAGCTTTATCCGCTTTGCTCAACACTTCTGGCGCATCATGCGAAACAGTAACACAAGTAATACCTATTGCATGATTAAGTTCGCCGGTAATTCATTTTAAAATACAAATGGACTGTGAGAAGTGATAGGCTCAACCCTGTAAATGTGTGTATATATGTATATACATGTGCATATTTGAGCTTATATAAAGCCAAATCCAAAATCTTATAAATATACTATTATTAACACGTTGTTTGCGAATAAAATGAAAAGGGTTTATTTAAACTTTATTTTTGTCGAAATACAATTGTATTAAATTTGATTTGGGCATGTACATCAAATTTAAGTGAAAACTATAAATTTGAAAATAACTAATACTAGTAATTCCCGTTATAATTATTCAAAAAGATATTTAGATTTCAATTTATTGAACGAAACTGACTAAATAACCGTTATTGTCGAAGCTATTATTATGAGTTAGGTAGATGAAAAATGATTGGCTTTTATATTTAAAGTATTTTGAAAAGTGAAGATTTTATAAAGGGTCTGTTTGCCAAGCGATAGAGAGGGAAGCTAAAGCGCTGGAGGTGGCCGGTCAGAAAGAAAAATCGTTGTCCGGGAAAGTAATGAGATTGCGCCGACTCGGTTAATTCATTTCATCCGGAGGAAGGTAAGTAAAGGGAAGAAATGGGGGGATGTTTCGATCACTATCGCTTTCACCCCACCCACCCTCGGAGACGATAAGGACGCCGGCACATCTTCGTCGGGCCCGAGGCAAAAGGGCGAAGGGAAAGAAGAAAGCCCAAGATGACCCGAGTGGACGGAAAGACTGCGCGTCGGACATGCGCCCTTTCACCGAACAAATATATTTAAAAAAAAAGAAAGAAAAAAAGAAAAAGAAAAAGGGGATATCCGATTAATTCACTTGTCTCTTAATTTCCCACCCTTAGATTCCCTTTTCTACTCCCAGTACATTTTACATCACATTTTTTCAAAACCACTTTTCATTTATCGTGTTATATTTTTTCCCGTCCCATTTTCCTAAGACTTCCAAACAGATCTTTGTTGTGACAAATATTATTTTGTTTCCTAACGGGTTTTAAACAATTATATAAAAAAAAACTAAACTAAACTGCTCAAAAATTATAGGGATATTTGTAATTTATTTTTCTTCTATTAATTTAAATTAAATTAACTGGTATAATCTTGTTAGTTGGATAAAACAAAATAGAAAATACAAACCAAAAACAAGCAAATGTTAATCCTTATTATCAATAATGTATTTACTTAAGAACAGTAAACATGAAGAAAACTCAT